AATACTGCATTGTTGACCACATCCCACAAATGTCAACGTGCTTTGGAGCAACTGTGCATTTTGAAAGTCGCTTACAAAAAAACAACAACCATGATTAGGGTTATTAAACAATCTTTAATGTATTTTATAGTGACGTTTATTACATTTATACTTTCGTTACATATATAAGTCGTGTGGAATATGGAGCATTAAATGGCCAAGCAGCGAGATGTTTCATCACCTCCTTCTCAACCAAGGGATATCCGCGTGAAAACACGTGTTTCCTAATCCCTTTATGTGAAAGCATACAGAGTTCCCAGGCTGCAATTTGGCATCAACCCAGTGGAATTTGAAGTCGTAGGCGAACTTGCTGGGTGTATCACAGCCCCTGCATAATTGCCAGGTACTGTGTAAACAAATTGTATGGAAGAGCAAGATGGCTTAAACATGACCGACTCTTTAAAGCGCCCTTGATGACAAAATATAAGCCAAACACAGAAACGCCCAATGGACAGATCCGGCGGTGACATTTCACAACACAAGACGGCGGAGTCGTCTTACGCCAGATGGCTCATGCCAAGGCAATAATTTATTTTGCTTCCAAACGGGCACTAAATTTCCAAAAGGCCCGATTTCGGCCACTCAAAAAAGGGCAACATTAAAGGGGAAAAACTGACAATGGTTCCCAACAGAGTCTAATTCCTCTGGTTAAATTACAGGCACTGCAATTGAAAAAATGTATTGACTACGCTCTGCTGTGCTTACCGAGGCCATGTCCCAATGCACATATTTCACATGTTGACAAGATGAAAACAAGTACAGTATATAAAGTTCCCCCATGATCGAATGTATGTTATGTGGTGTTGAACTGCATTTTTTGGCCAAGCCATTGACAACGTTTCCATGTTTCTATGACGAGTGGAAAACTACCCTTGCCTTTCCACTCCGTGGTCGAGGCCTAAGGGAGTGCTGCTCACCTGGTGAGCTGTACTAGATGCATCTCAAACCAGCGTGATGATGAGTCCACGACCACCGCCATCACCACCACCATCATCATAATCACCATCACATCACTACCACAACCATCATCACATATACACCCCCATAACCACAGCCACAAAACCATCACCATCATCACAAACACCCCTGCCATTACATCATCACCACTCCAATTATCACAACCACCATAGCATGTTCATCATCACAATTACCACCTTCACCACAATAATAATCCCTATTAACATGACCCTGGTCATGATCACATTCACCATCACCACCCTCACAACCTCAACCACCATCATTATCCTAACAATCCCAATCACCACCACCCACCATCGAGTGAACAATCATGCCATCACCAATATAACCACCAATATCAACACCTAAACAACTATTAATTACGCCAACATGAACACAACCACAACATTCACCATTACAATTATCAATATTACCACAGCAATCATAATCATCCCTAAATCACCCCACGTCACCACCACAACCATCCCCTCACCAACATTACCACAACCACCTTTAAGAGCTAACCCCCATCACATCAACCATATCACCAACATCGCCACCACCAACATCATCACCACCATCACATCACATCACCACGATCATCATCACCAGCGCCACCATCATCACCACAACAACCTTTAGAGTTAACCCCATCACATCAACCATATCACCAAAATCTCCATCACCACCACCACTATAACCATCGCATCATCATCATCACCACCACCAAAACCTTTAGAGCTACCCCCATCACATCAACCATATCACCAACATCTCCATCACCACCACCACTATAACCATCACACCACCATCATCATCACCACCACCAAAACCTTTAGAGCTACCCCCATCACATCAACCCTATCACCAACATCGCCATCACCACCACCACTATAACCATCACACCACCATCATCATCACCACCACCACCACCAAAACCTTTAGAGCTACCCCCATCACATCAACCCTATCACCAACATCGCCATCACCACCACCACTATAACCATCACACCACCATCATCACCACCACCACCAAAACCTTTAGAGCTACCCCCCCCCCCCATCACATCAACCCTATCACCAACATCGCCATCACCACCATCACCACGGACCATGCTGCAATGCAGTACAGATGGGGGTGTGGCCAGACACTGTATAACCAGCGCGCTCCATCTATCTCGAGGCGCTAAGGGAGGGCTACCGAGGCGCTCCCCGAACGTTGGGAGGGGAGGCAAGGGAGGGTTGCCCTTCCTCGCGCAGACCACCGCCACCTCGTCGCATCGACGAGGAGGCGCCTCTGCTGCTTTACCGGAGCTGCGGCTCGTCCGCTTCTCCCATCCCTGCGGCAGCGACTCTTCTTCATCCGCCATGCCTGAACACAGCCGCCTGAGTAAACATCGTCGCAGCGTTGCGCGCCTGCACTTTCGCGCGCGTCAACGAGGGGGAGGGGGGCGGGGGTTGGTGGGAGGTCACTCATTCACCAACGCAGGCCGTGTGATGCGGTACGATTTTTTACCCCGCCAAAAAAATATAAAGGAACGTTACATTGCTATTATTTGTAGATCTGGCAAAAGTGCGACGCTGTGTTGATCGTAAGTAATTTTTTCTGGAGGTAAAAGTTGCTACAAAGACTTTTTTTTTGGTGGGTTGAAGTTTCGCGGCGTAATAACTGTGACCCGTGAAAATGCGAACGTCCAACGCGGAGGCTGCGTTTACTCTGTGGCCTCTATTCCAGAATCTTAACACAAGAGGAGCGGTAAGCCACTCCGTTTCAAATACCAATTTATCAATAAACAGTCATATAGTTTACTGGTTAATTGGTCATTGGTTACCTATAATAGTTAATCGAGGTCGTTGTTAAAGGTTGTGCATTCTAACAGCTTTCATCGAGGCGCTGTTTGGTTCGAAGTACTCGTGCGTTCACTGAAGCCTGGGATCCAGGGCCTTGATTCTCAGATCGTATATATAGTGTTAATCTTGATTTGATATAGTGTTAGTTGTAACGATGTTAAGCGATGTTTCCCGAACCCTCTTCTTTACTTGACGAAGCCAGCTTCGAATGGGGTGCAATGCAGTTCGAGGATTACGTTTGTATCTTGTGTTACATTTCATTTGTTCCCAGTGACCGATTCCATATTTTTTTTTTAAAAACTTAAAGTTGTAACAAATAGATGTATCTCGTGGTAACTTCGCAAGCAATACGGGGAGTCATCCGAGTGCAATAATGGCTTTCTTGGTAACTTTTAAAGTAAGCTTGAAGTTCGTGTCCGGAACAGGCTCGTGACATTTTACTTTTTTTTACCTCTACCCCATACGGTCATACGCAAATCCAGGGGGAATATTTCTGAGGTTTAATATCGCTAAATCATGTTTTGCAATGTCCTATTCTCCGTCTTCACCTCGCACTTACCAGTGTGGTGAAGTATGGTCAAATAGGCCCCATGACCGGCATAGCTTGGGGAGACCACGGCAGTAGATTGACACAGACGTTTCACGTTTTACACATGTGCATTGCACCCCACCCGGGAGAACTAGTTTTGTACATCAGTGGGGTTTCGCCTACTCAAACGAAGGTCATATTTGAATGTAACGTATAAATGCAATGTGCATTTTCTTGTTATCAGTGCTGTTGTGATTTACCGCAGGTCACAATGTTGGAGATCACCTGCAACGATCGGCTGGGAAAGAAAGTGCGGGTGAAGTGCAAGTATCCTTCATCAGCAGCGGTTCATTCGATGCACGGTCGTAAAAAATAGATCAGCGTCCGGTCTATTAAACAAAAGTAAACAGGAACTGGTTTCATGAGAGTAACTTGTTTGGTAGTGATGGTTTTTATTTTTAGAAATTTTGCTTTGAAACAATGTCATTACAGATAATAAAACTTTAAAATGGATTAGCGCTTCAGCGCATTAAGGAGACAGTAATCCATTAAGTAATTTCGATTTAAAGCTTTCGTGACTGCATAAAGTCACTTTACGTGACTCATAAAGTTACTTTACCGAAAGAGCCAAGAATATCAAGTAATGTTACAAGTTACTGAATTTCCTTATTGCCCAGATTAAAAGATGCACTTTTCTTGTGTATTTTAAAGCAATATTTGGAGGTGCATTTTATAACTTGGTGTGTGTGAACAGGTTGTATAACTTTCTTGACACCGTGCACAGGTTTTGAGTGCGATTTTCAATGCATCTTATAATCTGGAAAATGATATATATTAAAAAAATTACTGTTTATATTGAGAAAGAATGCATTTTAGGCATCAAACTTAACCTGTTGGATGTTCATGACTTGTGTTTACATGCCTTGACCGTATACTTCAGTCCCAGCGACACAATCGGGGATTTAAAAAAGCTTATTGCAGCACAGACTGGAACAAAATGGGACAAAATTGTCCTGAAGAAATGGTAAGACACTGGAACACGTGTGTATATGTCAAAATACATCTATACAGCATAGCTGATAAATGTGTATTCAGTAAATACAGTACCCATTTCTATGTGTACTTTTTATACTTAATGCCAACACGCACAATCCTGGAACACTCCAAAGTGTATGAAAATTGCCTGATGAACACACCCGTGCGTTATCTACGGTGGACATAGTGGAAACAGTTTAGACATGTCAGATTTCACCCGTTAAGCAATTCGAATAATTGTTATTTGGGGTCACAATTGTATTCAAATTTTTTTGTAGATGTATAATATCTAGTAGCGGCGGAGTTACATAAACCAGTCTTGTACAATATATATTTAGTCTCACAAGCGTTGTTCAATGCATGTATTGGGTTCAAATGTATTTGAATATACTAATCATTACATGTATAACAGTGATGTAGGGATGGGTACTTAATTATGGGCCATATCAGGCTTAACATACAATATACCTTACACTCAGTTTTAGCAATTTTAGCAATCATTTAATCTCGTTTCTCTTTTTCAGGTACACCATATTTAAAGACCACGTTACGCTGGAGGACTGTATCCTTTACAAAAAAAAACAACGCCTTAAAGTGTTTTAATTTTTAATGCATGAAGCACATTACCTGTTCACCTCATGTTTTAAAGTAAACATTCCATTGCGATTATCCTTGATGTTTAAACACAGATGAGATCCACGACGGACAAAATCTGGAGCTGTACTACCAATGAAGCACATGCAGGGATGGCGTCAACAATTCCATAATTGGGATGTTCCGCAAGACATCGTTGTACATCAGTCAGTTTTAATTAAATGTATTATTTACATGGGGAATCTGTAATACAATCTTGATTCTTTGACACTCATTAACATTGTATCTCCATAATAGGAATGGCTTTTGTTACATTCATGCCATTATCAAGTTTATTTCTAATAAAAATGCAAGTTGACTTGTCGAACCAATGTCTTACAATTCTTGTGCAAATTTAAAGTGCTATGATACTGTATTTAAATTGTTTTCACAAAGTGATATGCTTTTGAATCAATCATAGGTATTAGGCTTGTATTTTTTATATATTTTTTAGTTTACCCAGGTTTTACCCAAATTGTGTCATAAAACGAAGTATCCATTTAAATGTGTCACAGCAGTGTTTCCCTTCAAGTAAGAGAATGGCCCATGCAAGCAGATAGAGCTACCTTTGATATTCGATGAAGTGACTTCTGGTCCACACAGTTGAAGGAAGCATTGTCCCACTTGCTATGCATATAAGAGTAATGTTCATTACAGTCAAAGCAATATTTAATTCTCAGTGCTGGAATGGTAGCCATGTAAGAAACAACATTGCATGTAATGGCTTTTATATACAGTTATTGGTAACAGGCTGAGACCATCAACTCACTACACAAGATAACTGTTTAATCACAAGCAGCTCCCAGGATCTCAACAGTGCAAGCGTATTGCTCTGACCTCTGGAGCCACTCAGCCATACAGACACCTTCATTCTCAGAACAATCCCTCAAGACTCAACGTGATGGACTCCTTTGGCACGTGAACCTGGTGAATCTGCGTGGTTCTTGGCGCGAGCCTGTGTGCCTTAAGACGGTCGACACGACGGTTTGCCTCCCGTGTTTTCTCTACCGCGTCCCGAGAGAGGCGGACGTCCAGCTGTGTCCGTTCGGTCGCGGCCTGCTCTTGAAACTTCTCTTGTCTGCAAGCACACGCAATTTTTTTGAACACTTTCCAACTAAGGTTGAAAGCATTTGTGCATAAGATCTGTAATGGTGAGGGAGTCATAATAACTTGAAAATATGTTCTCATGTGAACAAAACTTTAATATCAAGTTTTGTTGCTGTTAGGCACTTGAAAACTGACCACATTGATCAGTGTTGCTCAATTTAAACAACCCAGACATCTGTTAAAAAGAGCTTCATAGCTCATCGGAATCCATTAGTCTAAAGATTTTGATTCTAATAAAATGTCTCATTGCATATATTCAACCAAATAGTGCCCTGACAGCTTTCCGTTTGCATCCATACCGCTATGATACATGCGTGTTAGAAATCGTTACATAATTAATGCGTATGCCTGAATTTTTCCTAATTTGTCTTAGATGCAGTGGTATTGACAGGACCCCCACCTACGCATACTCAATTTAATCCCAGGAGCCCTGCTTGATAATATATTAAAATATTTAGAGTAATGGTTAGCACAATGGACTTGCAATCCATAGGTCGCCAATTTGATTACATTTTAGCGTGGCGGTTGAAACAGTAGGCAAGTTTTGTTATTCTATCCACCAAACAGTATAAATTGACACAACACAGTTGATCAGCAAGTTATGTGTGGAGGATTGTTGGAGAAAGGTTTTGGGGCTGTTCATTTTCAGCCTTATGCCTAGAGAAAGTACAGTTTTCGCACATTCACTTTCTGGAAACTTAGGCGCAGTGGGGAGAGAACATGAACGTCCAAACCTGCGCTGCAGGAACGTGCGCACGATCTCGCGCTGTTGCAGACTGTGCTCCCGCTGATCCCCAGCCACTTCCGCGCGTGCGCTGCGCTCCTCCTGCCGGCGCATCTGCCAGTCGTGCCTCCACAACGCCTTACCCACGGCCGCTTGCTGGGACCCAAATGCCCGTGCCAGATCAAGCTCCGCTTGGCGCGAACGACGGTCGTGGTCCAGTCTCCGTTCACGCGCATTGTCTGCGTGCAAGAGAACAGTGCGAGTTTGTGAGTGTGGAAGGAGAGGGTGGAATGGCGCATTGGTGAACACACTGCTATGGACTCGACAACACCCTTCACCGATCACGTTGACGGTGCATTGTGGTCAAGCAACCGCCCATGACTGGCAAGGCACACGAAGACCATCCAGTGGTGAAATGCAAGAAACCACCCGTGCCTATGACACCAACAGAATCATTGTTGGTTGCTTAGCATGTTTGGCTGTGCACAACAATTGTGTATTAAAATAAAACAATACAGGAATATTGATGATAAGCTTACACTGCCTATTCCAATGTAAAATTTTAATATCCCAGACCAGGTGGAGTAACAAAGAAGTAGGACCAGCTGTTTAAACAAAATTAATATTGACACATACCTGAATGGAATAATACCTCAAAGAAGGAAGATAAAACTGATTTGAAAAATTAGACTTATGCTATCACATACACGGATTGTATATGATAGCATAGGTCAAAAATATAACTTGAACATGGAACAACACCTAAATTGCAGGAAATAAGCAATAAATTACAAATGAGTCGGTCAAGAAAATGTGCTCTCACCAAGGCTGTTTCACAGCAAAGACATTTTCGTAATATTGAATAGTAAAAATAAAGGTATAAGCATAATTAATGTAGAGATCATTACTCATCTCAGATACTCGAATGATCGTAATAACAAGCAATGGAAATGAACTATAGGACATTATTTACAAACGGGCTGCATGAGAAAAAGCCACATTCAACAAATTTGCTAACAAGAGTTTGTCCGAAGGAAAAACACCATGAGGCACTTATTGAGGTGGATTGAAATTCAACACGTAGGCTTTCGCGACCAATATTATTCATAATAAAGGTTTTTGGGTTAGATCGCGTTATTTATAAATGTGTTGTAACCCTCCACCACCCGACACGGCCAATCAGCAAAAAAGTGTCACGTTGACAAAAGACAAATAATTCACTACTTTAGCCCACCGGTGTGTTGAAGAGTGAATCCACAACATTTACAGTTTGAGTACTTGTAGGGTTACGACACATTTATAAATAACACGATCTAACCCAAAAACCTTTATTATGGATTTAAATTACAAAAGCAGACTGGAGTGATTTTGTAAACCTCAATTTGATAACGGCAACATGCCAAAGTGCTGCGACGTGCATGAGAAACATGGACAAAGTATAACGGTTATAAAAGCCGAAAAGTTGCCAAACAAGCATGGACGGATGCATCCCTGGAATTAGGCAAATAAACATGGGTTGGGGGAAATTATAGGCATCATTGACAGTTGAGGAAAGTGCATGGGCTTGAGCAAGTCACGTCACTATGCCAGAGGATGACCAATGAAAGAGAGTGGTGACAGCAGCCGTGGAGAACACGCTCGAAAAGATGACCACCGAGGAGATGGAGCTATGAGATTGGTTCACGTGCAGGATTGCAACATCGCAAGAGCAGAAGGAACGGTGAAGGCATGCGGAAGCATTCATCCAGCGGTGGATAAGGTTGGGTATGACCAGAATAAATTGTAAGTTGTATTGTTAAGTAAAAAAAATAAGAAGGGGTATCATGCAATTTAAGAAGTGTTTTGACCTGCAGTGTTATACATTATTTGGTGACACTTGCATGTCGTTCACAGGTGCACATAACAAAACAAAACCTCAACACATTCATCAATAACGCTGCCTTAAAATAAAAAAATATTTCACGGATGATGTTTTTGGCAGTGACCATTCATAGCACATAAAGGGTAGCACAACTTAAGATTGAGTTCAGCCTCGCCATTAAGTGTTCGATAATGTAATAGCTACTTACATTTCATGCTTGTGTAATAAACTTTACCGTCACGTTAATGTGTAGCTTTATAAGAGCGTTGGAATTGTGCCACTGTAATAGCTCTTATGTATGTACGTATATGTATGTATGGTGAACTTTCGCACCGTACGGAGCCAACCGTGCTAATCAGAGGTTCGGGGGTAAGACAAACTAAAACACAAAAAGCAGTTTTAAAGAAATGAGTTTTCAATCTAGATTTTAAAGTGCATAGCTCCATTGGGTTCCTAATATCGGAAGGAAGAGCGTTCCAGACGGCCGCAAAAGTGCATCTGAAAACGCGCGATGCAGTGACCATCTTTGTTCGATGGTTAAGGGGGCCGTACAGTAAAATGAAGAAATCTCAAAATCGGTCAGGATCTTTTACCGTTGTCGTGTCTGTGGTGGAGCACCATGACAATGTACGTGATAGAATGCAATGTTAAACGGATTGACTGATGATCCGGCACTCACTGATTTGCTCCAGTGACTCTCTCACCCCCTTATCACTCTTCTATCACTATGAATATTGTCACTATTCCTGTGAACTCAACTCGTTAATCCACCCATGTTGAGGACACGGCCGTTCAGACTGACCCACCCAAATGGCGTTCAACCACCACACTGCAGGTCAAAATAGGTTTTAACTTGTTTATTCCCTCGCTTTGCTCGACTTTGGATCGTCCTCTCCCGCTGATTTCTCAAGTTCGTATAACCTTGCTTAACTCAAGAAACGTTTTGACTCCTATAACACCTTTAGGGAATCCTGAATAGTGCTGTTTGTTGCTAGCCACTTGGCATTTTGGGCCTTTGGTCCTGTGCTAAGCAATAGCACAAAAAAAGGATGAAGGGAACATGAGTCAAGGGCTTGCCATCTCGCCACCATGTGGCGAGATGTTAACTACCTTGCCTGGTATACAAGAGTTCGTTGGTTCGATCTCGACCCTGACACCTGTATATTTGGAGTTTGCATGCCTCTCTTCCCCTGGTCGCGTGGGTTATTTTCTGGGTCCTCCGGTGTTTCCCTCCACATATAGAAGCGTGCATTTAGAGTACTTGGCCGCTATAAAGTTCCACATGATACGCCGCTTCGTTGAGCTTTCATTTGTGCCCAGGTCGCTTTTGAAAAAGTGCGAAATAGCTCAGCGGGCCTTACCTGATAAGATAAATATAGTTCGGTTTAAAGAGAAAATACCTCCGTCAAGGGGCGCCTGCCTCTTCTGTCGCTGCAGGTCGTCCGTCATGCGAGCGCAATCTGCCTCCCTCAGGCGCACCGCGACCTCACGTTTCTCCTCCAGAAAGCCCCGCATGCGCGCCTGCATCACTGCTCTCCAAATGCAATTAGGAAGTGAGAAAAAAAACTTTAAAAAAATGTGTAGGTCATTGGCACAGAGCTAATAGCATCGTGATGGTGGTGGGTGTTCAAATTTACACCAGCAGATTGCTCTGCATGGGAGGATGGAAATAGATGCCCATTTGCTGCCTTACAATAGGCCATCTGCCCAAATGATTTTATTTTATCATCTAATCAGGCAAGGAAGTATTTTCCTCTATCATTATTTTCAAGCTTGACTTGTCATGGCGCACACGACCTTGAAAGTCGCCACTGCCCATTGGCCAGAAGTCGTGAAACCCAATCATCCACACGGCACCCCCACATCCGCACCTCGTTTGGCCGAGTGTGCCCTGTTCACGGTCTCAGCCTTGGCGGTAAGGTGCCCCACCCTCTCCCGCTCTCGTTGAGCCCGTTCGAGGGTCTCAAACGGCGCCAGCACGTGGGACCCCATGGAGCGACGGTGCAGGCGTTCGTCCAGACTCATCGTGGGGTGCTGGTCGCGGGCGCACACACAGACGCACCTACACGTTGGCATACCGTTTCTCGTAGTATTTGACCTTTATTTCAAAAGCAGGGCAGATACACGTGAACAAGAAAATAATCGGTCTCCTGGAAGGAATGCAAATCGCATATCTAATTGACTGGATTGCAATGTGTTTTTTTCTATTCGTTTGGTGCGGTCTGCATTAAATATGTAAAGTGGTAACCTAAATAAATGCACTTCGTAAAAAAACATCTGCTAGTTCCATAAATAATAGGGGTTTTCTCATTTTTTCTGGCAACAAAACTAAAACCTTACCCCGAGCCCTCATTACTTTGATAGTGGCATTGTCTTTGAGCTGTACGCCTTTTGGCATCCTCTGGACTAGCACCAATTGAGACGAGGCTCAAAAGAAAGCCGTCTCTGGTGTGGACCAGTTTCAAGGAGAATGCATATATTATCAGAGTGTTTTTTTTATTTGCATTTTGACCACAAGTATTGTGGTTAATGCATGCATGATTCCTTGTAAAAAGGTTTCAGTTTTGTTGCCAGAAAAAAGGAGAAACACCCTATTATTATATTTTGGTACTGGCAAAGGAGGTCTAATAATGTGATCTGCTAGTTGGTTAGCAGCTTTCTCTCTGTCAATTCCTTACCCGTGGTCGGTGTAGAAATTCTGTCCTGGACTCATCCTGAATGAGAGAATGGATCTGGCTCACGGATTTCCTGACATCACATGCCTGCTCATGCCGGGTAAGCAGCAAATCCCGTAGAGGATCAGACTGGTGGATCCTGGCACACAGGCCCGACATGCGGAACTGGACTTGTTGGTCTTCCAGATTGACGTCCGTGTTCAAGTCATCACCTTTATCCCGTGTCTCCAAGACTATTGTGGAACACATACATTGATGTAAGCGATTTTAAAAGGAAACAATCCTAATCATAAGTGTCAGTGGCACTAAATTTACACTCTGAAACATGGTTCATGTTCAATAAAAGACGATTTAATGGAAGTTTTCTGAAATCGAAATGTTTATAACTACTGCTGTAAAGACAATCACTTCATCGGGAAAATTATTCCCAAACATTCGATTAATTTACCTGGGTATGTCATTGTATTGTTATTATAAATAAGCAAGGTTATAGTACATTAAATATCCTACCATTACATTTGTTACTTCCAAGCGTTTGCATAAAAAAAAAACATAATTAAGTCTACATGTGTGTTCGTGGCTAAGAGACAAATAGACCTGTTTGTTGTCCAAGTGGCTTTGTCTCCTTCCGTCTCATTACTTCACTATTGTGACCACGCTGGTGCCTGAAAGGAGCGGAATGAATCCAAGTGGAAGGGTAGAACCTCTGTGGGTAGGCACTTGTTGGGCTCAAACGATCCAAGGCATCCTTGCAAGACAATATAAATGGTGAATAAAAACTTAAATCTCTTTAGCATTCCCTACCACACACACACACATGTGATGTCAATGAATGGAACATACTAGCTTTGTTCAAGGGCACAATAAGTCAGCTTAAATTGTTGCAAATTTCACCGCGCGGTTGAGTAATTTTCCTTGGGACAATCATTTCGCTCACTAAAAGCCCATTGTTAGTACAAAGCTCAATACATTCGTGATTGTGTTGAGATGTGACTCGAGCAGAACCACTGTAGCAATACAAGACTTGAATGCGTGTAATCACCACTTTCACACGACTGACAAGTGAAATGCACATCAAAATCCACTATCTCATACCTGTGGTGAGTGTATATTGACGTTACAAGTCAATTGAAAAATTTTGTACAGTTTCTTTTGTACGAACCAATGACACAAAATCAATAGTCACAAAATCATGCACTGGCGTATGTTGTTCGTGAAGAATCTGTTTACCTGGACAGTACTTGTGTGCAGTTGATTCAAATCTATCGTAAGATGCTTGACTTCTGCTTGTTCCTTGAGTAAAATAAGATATATCAATGCATGTACACAGACTACAGAGTAGCGCAATAGTGCAGTGGTTAGTACACTGCAATATGAGTTCGATTCCCAGTGACATCAAATATCAGTGGTGAGTAATATCTGAACGGTTTCTAGCTACACCCTCCCCACCCCCTTTCACCAATCTGAATTAACCTGTTAACCAACGAAATATGCGAAGGCCTTCATCCAGTAGTAGACTGACAACACGCTTTACCCATTATACTTGATAGAGAACTAATAATTAAGGAACTGGACACTCATGCCGCGCACCTCCGATTAGCACGGTTGGCTACATACGGTGCGAAAGAAGTTCAACGTACATATATGCCAATGCAGAACCCCCTGCAAAATGGCTTTGAACATTTCCAGGCTTTTCCAAATTAAGTAACTATATGGGCAATGTCCATCCTTTAAAAAAAATGGATGGTATACTTATACACTTTGAAACGTTCCCATGTGTTGTTTTTTTTTTCCATTGTGGAATAAAAGTAACTTATAGTTAAAACGGTTTACCGAAATCGACCGTAAGACTAAAACATTAAAAGCAGACGGAAACGACAAGCACCTTCATTTTGCACTGGCTCCTGCTTGTCATCTGGCCAGAAAGTCCTCCATCCCAGGCCCGTGCTAGGCCCTCAGCCAGGATTGCTCGCTCCTCCCGCTCTGGCCGAGATGTTCTGCCGCACTTAGCTGGTAGCCTCCTGTCTGCCTTCCCGAGCCTGGCACGGACGAGGTGCCCGCGAAGCCAACGTTGGATGATGTGCACAGCAGAGTGACGTGCCAGCACTGCGTTGATGTCCTTCAGGAGCCTCTGGAAGTGCTGCATCTTTGCGATGTACGATATCTGATTGTAGCATTTAAAAATAGATACTTGATTTTCTTAGTACACATAAAAACAAAAAGGAAGAGTGCAAACAAAAACACAAATGGCGTTTATGGTTTTCCAATGTGTTTTCGGGTTGTACCGTTTGTTGTTCAGCATGATGTTTGGCAGGCTGCATAATTCAGTTCCTGAAGAAACTTGCAGCACCCGGAGAGAAATATCGGACATCAAACTGTACAACATGCGGTACAATCCAACAACACATCGAGAGTCATGCAGCTCAACTGTGACCTTATGCAGTAAATGGCTTTTCTGTTGTAGATATAAACCTCGGCTGTGTGTTTTAGGCTTTGTGACACAAGTTTGAGGTTTTTGGAAATGAGAAAGAAGACTTTAAATTTATGGATAGGAACACCATTAAACCACTCTCGTGACGTCAATGCATTGATATGCTAAAATGAACTTAAGTGACAGAAGACGCAATCCAAAATCACTTTGACTACACTCCCATTTTAATACGTCAATGCAACGACGTCACTACAGTGCTATAATGACATGCATGCGCAGAACTTCAGTCTATTTTGTTATTAACGAACAATAAATCTACTGTTTGACATCCTGGAACACAGCCTAAGTATGTATCCAAAAGATAATATGAATTAGCTGTTTTGGATTGATTCTCTGCTGTTAATTTGTTATGCATGCATCATTTGTATTTGTGAAAATTTTATAGCACTAGTGTTTTGCTTATTTCATATGCTAATTATTGAACGGGCTGCGTTTAAGTCACATTATAGAGTCCCCTGAAAACTTTACACAAATATAAGTTACAGATATAAAACCTAATCGTACTCATGCATCACTCAGTTACAACATAACAGTTTATGGAAATCCCAAGAACAAGTGATATTCGAGAAGGAACACAAAAAAAACATTCATTGTCAAAGGCTTATTGGATGGCTAGCAATGCCATTTTACACAATTGCCATTTTTCATTTTCATCGTCATCAGCTAAGCTTGATCCAATTCTGTATGAAGGCCTCCCAAAGCCGTCACCATCCCACACGGTCCCATGATACCACAATCTCATTGACGTATGGGCTGATCTTACCCTCTCAGGAATGTTTAGATTATTTGGCTGCTATAATTTTCCACATGATAAGCCAATTCAGTTGAGCTATCATTTGTGGCCAGGGCGCCTCTGTAAAAGAGCTATTAGCTCAGTGGGCTTTACTTGGTGAAATAAAAAAAATGTTTGAAAAAGTTTCATAGTATGTTCCTTGCTTTGACAACCATTCCATCACCAGTCTCATCCATTGGCCATTATCCCTTCGAGTGATGTGTCCTGGCAATGTCCACTAATTTTCCTATGTGGTATGAAGGGCCATTGGCAGAAAGTGTTTAATAATGTTGTTCTCCCGTCCATGTCTTCCTCATTCTGTCTCTCAGCCTAATTCCACGAATGCAGCTCTCAATCCAACTTTCTATACTTTTTAAATTTCCTATACTTTCTGTCGGCGTCAAACATTTCAGATCCGTACCTAAGTGGGCAAATATATACACCGAATGAAGCCGCGTGTTCAAACCTGTCTCGGAAGGCAGGTGCGTATGCCCACGACCATGGCTGGGCTCAGGGCTCGGAATCGCTCGCTCGTCGACGCGCGACCCGCCAGCCCCTCGATAATTTCCTCGTCAGCCACCACCACGCCGTCCAGCGCCTGCAGCGTGGCGATCGAATTGACGGCGCGGTGCCGATAGCCTGGCCGCAGCGACAGTGGCGTGTCGGCCAGAGTAAGAGCCACGAGGCTCGGGCAGGCTGCCAGGGAAGGTATGGCTGCGGTACCCAGTGGGTTGTCGTGAAGGTACAGCACATGGAGCTCTGGCAGCCCGAGCCAAAAGTCGGGCCACGGCAGCGCGCTGATCTGCAATCGGCACGCATTCTTTTTTTTATTATTCAATCAATCTTGCGCGTGAATAATTTATGTATTCATTAAAGCCATGTGCCTACATTTAAATAGAAAATGAAATAACATAAACGCATTAATTTAACGATTATAAACGTTTGCGGCTTTTACAAGTCCCTTAAAAGCGCTTTGTGCAATAAGGGTCATTAATTCACCGCGAGTTTAAATTACATTAGCCTTATAATTGCATTCATTGGTTTGAAATAGTACCTAGTGAAAAATAAGGTAACGTTCTACAGCAACTATTATATAACGGCATGTGCCACACTGCTGTGCTCAGTGTAACATTTCCAGGCCATAAAACATGTTTAAAGATGCAATCTCGTACCACTTATGCATTCAAAGTTGATGCAACCCATTTTTTTTAAATCCCTTTGCAGTTCAATTCAGAAATGATATATCATTTCCCAGCACAGGAGACCTGCACCAATAAATATAACCCATAATCTTCCTTTTTTAATGTTTTTATTTACATGAAAATTTTAAACAATAAATCAAAGCCCATTCTTTAATCAGGCGAACGTCCAAATAGTTTATCACTTTCTCAAAAAATAACGTAGGAATCAGTAAAACAGAAAATGTATTTTTTTGCATCATTGTAGTCTAGAAGTCTCTTGCTTCGCAGTTCTCAACGCAGTCAAATGCAAACGTTGAACTGTTTGCGAGCCTTAACAGTTACCTTTAAACAAGTTGTGCACTTTTGGTAACGCTGGAATGCCTGGCATAAAAGTCCATGAGAGTGGGAATCAAACCCCCAGTCAACTTTGGTTCACAGTGGGAGGTCGTTTATTCTCCTCTGCTACTCCTTTGTCTAATACTGAATTTTCCCAGCCGTCTGCACTGTCGACTACCTGCACATGTGCAACTTCAGGCTCAAGACTTTGTTTTCTTTACCTGCGACTCCCTCTTTCAACAAATCTCATCTTATCTTATTTTTTGCGTCTTAATCCAAGGCGCTTTACAATAATTATGAAATGGTACATAAGAGTGGGATTATTAAAGTAGTGATGTAGCAATGGTGACAGGACAGGTTGGAAGTGGTTTAGGAGGATTTGGGTTACAGCGTATTAAAATAAATATATACCTAAAATAAACCCAAATTGTACCGTAAATTATATAGTAAACCATTACTCTGTGCCAACCTAGCTTAATTACCACAGTACGTCGCATATCCGACCGTCACATATCCACCCTCACCAATTAAGCACCGACACGCGGTGCAGTATTTGTGTGTGGCGTAGCTGTCAAAATGTAAGTTGATGTTGGGATATCCGACCTTTTCACATAACCGCCTACAACCTCGATCATCAGCTCTCTGTGCAAAGGTAGGATATGAGAACACCTTTAGCAAACGTGACCATGCGGTTAATTGGTCAGGGCGGATACACGTGACGGTCAAATATGCGAGCTGCACACCGAACCACCACCACACAATTCGCCACCACAGCGTAAACACCGCCAACACTGCACCACTCGCTAGCTCCATCCATCCACCCGTCCATCCGTCCCCTCCGGCGTCTCCGAGTCACCTGGTTGGAGTGGAGGTCGAGCTCCAGGAGGCGGGGGCACGACCCCAGCGCCTCCACCCTCCTGATGCAGTTGTTGCCCAGGTGCAGGAATCGCAGCGAGTGACAACGCGCGAGGTCCCCCGTGCTGCCCAGCCTCGCCTGGCTCAGGCACACCACGGCCAGGCGACCCAGCTCCTCGGGGCCCCCCTTCTGACCCCGTGGAGCCTCCTCCCCGCCGCCTGCCTGATCCCCGGTCACCTCCCGCACATTACCGTGGCCCAGGGTCACGTCCCTGAAGTCAGGCTGCACGGTGGTCACCTGGCCGTGGGTCACCTTTAGGGCTTTCCTATCCCGGGGCACATCTCCAAGGCTACTCTGGTGCGTGGTCACATCTCCACGTGCTATCTGATCCTCGGTAACCTCTCTCAGCTCGCCGCGATTCCGAGTCGCCTCAAGATATGTCTTATCGTGAATCCAATTGCTCAGGTTGCTCCGGCCCCGGGTCGCGTCTCCCAAGTCACCCTGACTCTTGGTCACGACGCTCCCACGGGCAGCTTCATCCCGGGTCACATTGCTACGCGCAGGTTGACCCCCAGCGACCTTCCGCGAGGCCGCCTGACCTCTGCTGAGAATCAATGGCCAGGTCGGGGTGACCAGGAACCCATCCACGGCCTCCTTCATGTGGCGTGTTTGTGAGGGCCAGTGCAAGCAAGAGGGAGATGCTGAGAGACGAGGAGAGGAGAGAGGGCTGAGAAGGGCAGGGAGGGGCGAAGATGAGGAGGAGAAAAGGAGGTGAGATGGAACAGACGGGGGAGAGAGCAGCGGAAATGGTAGGAGAGAAATATGCGAGAGAGGATAGGAGTCGAAATGGGAGACGGGGAGAGCATAAAGCAGAGACCGCTGTCGATGAGGACAGAGTGAATGCAGTGGATGATGAGCGTAGAGGAGGTGAATAAGAGCGGGGGAGGTGAATAAGAGCGGGGGAGATGAGGGCGAAAGAAAAGGAGAGGGTGCGAGAGTGGCGACGAGACGGAGAGTGAAGAGAGGAGAGAACACGAGTCGAGGGGAGATGAGGAGGAGGAAGGAGCGGATGATGAGGGGGAGAGGATGAGGAGAGGATGATGAGGAGTAGAGGCAGTCCCAGTGACCTCGGCTTGGTCGCGGCTCCGCGTCGCCACGGCAACGGCCGCGCTACGGAGCGCGAGACGGGGAGCGGCGCGCGGAACGCGATTCGCTCGTGCGCCGCTCGATTCGTCACCGGGGGTTTCGATAATGATCACATTACGATTACTGTCATGTCACAGGGTATTGCTGATGTATTCTGGCCCCCAGTGAATTGAACCCTAACATTTGTTTTTTATTTGCATATTAATTTCTATTCTTAGCTCTTTCGGTAAAGTCACGTTGAAGTGAAACAATAAAAGAATAGAATATATATAAAACAATAATATATAAACAATATTATATATTATAAAACAATATTATATATAAACAATATTATATATTATTTTATTGTTTCCCTTCAACGTAACTTTACCGAAAGAGCTAAGAATATGAATTACTGCAGTCACGAAAGCTTTAAATCAAAATTTATATTAATTTCTGTTTTCAATTAAACTTAATTAAAAAAACCTTGAATTAAAGCTTTCGTGACTGCAGGAATTTATATTCTTTGGGTCTTTCGGGAAAGTCACGTCAATAGGTTAAAATTAATGCAAATAAAATAAACAAAAAAACTATGACGTTTCGATCACAACACAAGCGATCGTCATCAGGAGGAAACCAAACAAGCGATCGAAACGTAGTTTTTTGTTTATATTATTTGTATTAATTTAAACCTATTTACTTGACTTTACCGAAAGACCCAAATAATATTTATAAAAAAAAGTTGTTGAGAATTAATTGGGGGTCACTATACATCTGGACCACCCTGTAAACTTTATGGTTTAGTTAATCATCACGATGCGATGAATCAGAATCAGAATCTGTATATATCCTGGAGGAATCCGACGAGCTTTAACGCTCTTTTTCACAGATGTCCAATAGGGGCAGGTCCCAGCGTTACAACAACAAACAATACAAAAATACGATTAATCCTTACGTAAGTCCATTAGTAATTACGATTAGATTATGAGTTACGATCAAAGTAATCAAAACTATTCGATGTATTAATCTACTGTAGGGTATTCTTGCTTTGTCCTTGCAGTGCACGTAAAATATAGTCGGGTAACTCGGGTTGTGACGATTTTGTCTAAATTAATATTTTACGTTCCCAAGTGTTTCGAAAGAGCATCAAAATATTTCTTTTATTAATCTTAGTGTGATGGGGGACGTTAAATCGCTACTCCCTAGCGTATATCATAAAAAAAATATATGCGTACTGTACAAACAAACTTATCAAAAATAATAGTTTCCAATTCAGAATGAGTGCATAGTCAGGCCAATAATCGAATAATTGACAGTACTTGTCAAATGAGTAAAGCCAAATTAAATATTTTACGTGTGTCATTGTCTTCGACAAAGAATGTTGACGCCGGTATATATATAAAAAAAAACTCATCTTAATTTTCATAATCTTTTCTTCTCTCAAACATTATTTTACCAAATCCTCTTGAATTCCGGGGAGTAATTTTGTCTGTTGCTCCAGATTACAACCGCTCTGGCTGTTGTCCGTGCGCTCGCTTAGATTTTTTTTTTGCCTGGGCAGCATCTGTTTGGCACTGATAAGTGCGGAGAATTACTTATGCAAATTTATGCAAATGAAACTCGACCGAGTCTCAGCCCGTGGAGAATGGATGTAACTCATGGAGAATGGATGGAGCTTTTCACTTTAATTTTGGTTGCCCCGTGCCTACAGTGGTGTAAGGTTCTGCCCGAGTGCAAGCTCGCGTTCAGTGACGAGATGCTATCTTCCTCGCCTGGTATTCAGGAGGTCGTGGGTTTGATCTCGACTCTGATGCCTGTATATTTGGAATTTGCATGGCTCTCTGCTCGTGGTAGCGTGGATTTTATCTCCCGGGTCCTCCCGTTTGTCCCTCCACATTTAGAAACGTGCATTTCGAGTGCATGCCTGATATAAATTTGCACATGATAAGCCACTTCGTCGAGTTATCATGTGTGGCCAGGTCGCTTCTGAAAAAAGAGCTCAGTGGGCCTTACCTGGTAAACAAAACATGTTTTTGTCTCACTGCCATTGTGCCTTTTGTGACAATTCTGATTTTTTTAGAAACGTATACGACAGTATATGTTATCATTTTTTTTACAATACTGTATATTAATATATCCGTATACCTGTGATTACGTACTCGCTATGCATGCGGTGGCAATTTACACCCTGCACAATCTTGCAAACGAGATAATCCATCTCGAGGGATACAATTCAACAGAGCGGTTTTTTTTCGTCAATGTTACAACATTAAAAAAAATTATACGCCACCAACCGCCACATGTTGAGTTGTGGAGATGCGGTTATGAAAAGCCAAGTCGTATACGGTATTCTCAGTGGCTTTTTCTCCCTGAAGACATTCAGACATTACCCGTAAATGTTCGCCTGAACATTTTATGAGGTGACCGCGCAGCTCACAAGAGGTCAGAAACATTGAGCCGGTACTGCTGAGATTCTGAGTTTCAGATGCGCATGATTAACGTGCAGGGTTCGCGATTTAATACCGAGGTGACGGTCTCAGCCTGGTTGCCAACAGTCCAAAAAAACCCCATTGAACTTCATTTTACTTAATTTAGCTGAATATATATATTTTTTAAATGTTTGATGCTGAATACATTATCATAGTAAGCGTGTGTGTGAAAATGCGACCGCTGCTGGATGAAATATTTTGAAAAGCCACTTGAATATTTTTGGAGGCTCATGACAAGTTTTCATATCACTCGCCACTGATGTAAGCCGTGGCTCGGAATCGAACTGAGGCCGCCGGGTTCACGACAAAGTGCGCTCACCCACGAGGTCAACGCACCACACATAACTGTGTGAGCGTGTTTTATACAAATACAAAGATCCCCCGTATATATTATTCACAGTACATGGGGGGTGTTCGTGAGCGGGAATCCATCTCGGGTCGCCGGGTTCGTAGCGCAGTGCGCTAACTACTGTTCTATCGCTCCCCGTGAAAATATTCACTCACAAAAGCAAATACAAAGATCCCCGTATAGCCTTATAAGACTGCTTGGGCAAGTGCGGTTAACGAGCACCTATGAAGGCTGACACGGCACACGAGGGGGTGAGTGGCAAGCATCACGCCCGGCTGCCTTTGTCTCCCTTGTGGCGATGTTTACACACCACACCAAGTAATCATTTGTGGTTATGTCGACATAGGGGAGGCCCAGTACCGGTTCAGATTATTGTCACTGGTGTCGGTCGTGAGCGGGAATCGAACTCGGGTCACCGGGTTCGTAGCGTAGCACACTAACCGCTGCACTACCGCTCCCATATATTCACCCTCAGACACACTCACACACAAGGGCATATAGACACTGCATGAGCACCAGTGTTGCCACTGTCTCTGGGCAATGTGCGAGGGCGGCGGAATACGAGTCACCGTGTGTGCGTAGATCGACATAAATTAGGGCCAAGTTCCACAACGTGAAGTCCTGACAACGGCTCACCCACAAGGCAGCAATCGTCATCTTTATGGCCACTCTGGCGTGGTTGCCTCTCTCCCATTGTGCTCACCAAAGTCGCTGGTCGCGTCAGCGTTTTCTTAATGAACGACATTAAATCCAATCACCGGGGGGTCCCAGAAATGCCAATTATCTTTTCCATATTTTTTTCTTAATTTCACACCGTATTTTTTTCTCTTAATTCGTATTACTAGCATACGTAATTAACAGGAGATAACGAATGTGTACCACGTTTGATGCGCACATTAGAATTCTCACCACCTTTTATGCACGGGGAGCGCATCGGCAAAAAGGGTAAAGGCGCGGCCCTGCAATTTCCTGCTCACGCCACTGCTGGCGGAAGGGCCTCCACTTCGAGCGAGTTCCAGAGGGTTCCTCTTCGAGGGTAATTTGACCTACTCTTCCACCCTTGCCAGACGTCTTGGAAGAGGTGGGAATACCCACACTTTACCCCACCCACCAATCGACGAACTCTGATGGAGCCCTTGTTTAACTGCTGGGCGGACAGAAGCGCTGGGGGGGGGGGGTGATTTAAGAAACCTGGACTAGTCTTTCGACTGCCGCGCCGGGAAATCGAACCGGCAATCTCGGGCTTGCAAACCAATAGCACCATCGAAACATCACGCAACAATCATTCGCAATGTTTGACGCGTGTTAATGCAAATGCCCACAATCTAGAATTATATACCCGCATGTTATGTATAATTGTCGCATTACTTTCACGGTGCAAGGTGGCCGATTATTTTTTACGACTCGGCAATGCCGTTCCATGGCGTGGTTAATTTGCCGACTGAGCGAGTAATTATACGAAGCTCTTGTGTATGAGGCACAGAAGCCACGAAATGCCATTGCCCAAAAAAACCCTTCCAACTGGAATATTCCTGCGGGGGAAGATTCAATTAGTCTACACGATTGTTTATTGTAGGCATGTAGGACCAGGTCACCCTTACAAAAAGTGACGTTTTGCCTCAATGGGTTCTCGCCTGGAGATACAAAAGTGCGTGATATGATGATGATGACCATATGTCCGAGATAAAAAAAATAGCCACCCTCCGCCAGCCCCGCAGTTGCTGCACAGTAGACAACGCAACGACCTTGAAGGGCTACCCCAGGGGTCGGCAAATTGCGGCCTCTGGAGCCGCGTGCGGCTCTTTTAGAATCGCTGCTCCGTATGTATTAAAGACAGCCGTCTCGCATTTACGTTGCATCGCGGCGCTTGAAATATCGAGTTCTTTAACGAATTTAAAAAAATGTCTCTTCTTGTTATTTTGGTTTGCCGACCCCTGGTCGACCGTGACAGTGTCCCACCAACGGGTCTTACTTAGGTCTTCTCTTCCCAATCGGCCGTCATCAGCGATGCGCAGCGCAAGTGCCCCACCCTGCACAGCCGCTGTTCTGCCCGTTCATATCTAACGACGCTTACTTACCAGCCCCATGTTCTCTTCCGCACTTCTGCCATGCTTCCCCCTGTCTTGCCACGATATTCCCAGCATTCACCACACTATGGCCATGTGTTGGATTGACAACAGCCGCAATACATGCACTGTGGTGGTGGTGGTGAAATACGTCTTTTTGCCGATTTATATCGATGACTCCAACTTATTATCCACACATCGAATATTGTGCATGGAAGGGTTTTTTTTAACTTACAGATGTATATGTTTGTAATGGGTTCACGTCACCGTCTGCATTCATTGGAGGAGCCACCATTTATCGTAACGTAACAATAATCCTCGCTTGAATCAAATCGTTGGCCTGAACTAGGACACGTTGTCAAATTACGAGCGTGGGGAGATAATTGTCGAATAATTCTGGCCAGGGTCATTTTGAACGTGCTCGCTTTTGAACTATATACCCATAGACAGTACCAAAATTAAGATATATGAACAAAAATTACATTATTTTAAAGTCCACTGTTGGATGGAGGCCTCCTCACACCGTGTTGGTCATGTGGATTGCATGACCATACTTCACCACGCTGGTCATTGGGGATTGGTTTCGATTGGGGTGGAAGTGTTAGAAGGGTGCGGTGGGAGTCCAGGACCGCTTTAGATAATTATCACTCGCCACAAATGTTAGCCGTGGCTGGGAATCTTACTCGGTTGGCCTGGATCACATCACGGGCGCCGTTCGCTACCCGTTGCGCCACCACTCCACGCCGCATATGTGCATACACAAACACGCGTATGCTCTGTAGAATGGTTTTCAACTATCGCGTGCGGCGCTTTATTTGTGACAAAGCGTGAGGACTCTTATCTCCCGCAGTCAGGCGCGCGGCGTGGCTCTCTGGCATTGTGCCTTGCGCCCATCAATTCCCCTCCGGTGCTTTTGGAAGGGACACCCCTATACGCCACAAGAGGTGTTGCCACACACTGATCAACGTGAATGCACCTGGACACATACGTGGCCTAACATATATAAAAAAGTATAAGTTATATTATTAATAACAATGGCAATTGTTATGTTTGTACCGTACACTAATATATAATCATGTTGTTCACCCCGAAATGACCACCGTGGCGAAGTATGGCCAAACAACCACCTTCATCCAGCAGTGGATTAACACAGGGCCGTGAATGATAACGATATCATTCATGACCATACACGTGCATTACATTTGAGCAGGCTGGTCAAGAATATCGAGTGGGGTCACAGCAGCCAAGAGACGGAACGCGCCCGGCAGGACGCCTGCCTCTAAGGAGATGGAGCGATGAAATCAGCTCCCGTGTGTCGTGCACGAGATCGGTGGATATTACATCGCAAGATCGCGAAATATCTCGACGGTGCTGGGAAGGCCTTCACCTCAGCCGTGGATTGACCATGCCTGCGTAAGTTAGTGATGACGCCTGTCCAATACATGCAATACATATATAATCGAGCGTAGAATATGTGAATTCATTCACATATGATGCACACTCAAACACATTCGTCAATAGCACTGCCCTAGGATATATACAAGGTTCCACGATTCGGGCAATGGCCTTTCTTCTTAGCAGAGCGACATCTGCCCGTCATTTGTGATTGCACACCACAGCCAACGCAGTACTATCACACACACATACACAGTAGATTTTTTTTTTTAGACCTGTACTGCAAGTGGTTTGGTGATGCTGCGACGATGATGCCGCCGCCGCCGTCGCTGCTGCTGCTGTGTGCGTGGTTGCTCGGGCGATGACCCCTGCTCTAACCTTGTTTTTTTATATATATATGCGAATCCGAGCCGGGACCCACGCTGCGCTTTGCGTGGGCTACGGTCTCGTCTCTTCCACTCCCCGTTCGGCCCCGACAGCTCCGGCGGGCACAATAAACTGCCGTGATTCTCATCTGCACGCCCGGCACGGCCTTCTTTCGTGTCGTGGCGCAATTAGCGGCATCAGGCGCGCGGCTCCGCGACACGCGGAGTGAGGGTGTGAGGGGGGGGGGCTTCTCCGTACGCTCGCAGATTCCTGCCGTGCAATGCAGTGCGGCAACACATTTGTCTCAACGTCAAAGAAACGTCACACCGATGGGCTAAGATCGTGGTGATGATGGTTGTGGTGGTGGTGGTTGTTACGATGATGTCTGTATGTTGAACTTCTTTCGCACAGTACGTAGCCAACCGTGTTAATCGGAGGTGCGAAATAAGTTAAAAATGATGGCGGCGGTGGTGATTGTGGGTGGTCGTAGTTAGGTTGGTTGTTATAATAATGATCATGGTGGTGGCATTGGTGGTGGTGATAATGATCAGAGTGGTGATAGTGGTGGGGGCGGCGATAATGATGGTGGCGGTGTTGAGTAGCGCTGATGATATTTACGATGCTCATGGCGGAAGTGGTTACGATGATGATGACAGTACTGGGGGTGATAATAATGGCAATGATTGTCGAGGTAATTGTGACAATGGGGTGACCCTGAATTCACCTGCGACGCAATAAACTTTTGGCACGAAGTACCTGGGGGCACACGAAGAATAAATAAAAAAAAACACAAACCTTTCTACCCAGAACAATTCACATGTTAATGTCAGAACATATCGTTTGATTCGCCGTGTTAATGCCGCGTGCTTCTGCGTCCTATATCACAGCATTGCAATTTGCCGTTATTCCGTAACGCGCCACGAGATTTGCTTTTAAAATGAGGGGCTCGATCCGAGGAAAATGTGTATTATTGTTATTGTAAAACCTATCCCCACACGTTCGAGTCATTTCCCCGAGGCTAAATTATGTTCCTTTTTAATGTGTGCCTCGTACAAGACGATCTTCGTCTCAGGTGCTCTTGTAAACACGTGTTATTTCGCTGTTATGACCGCACTGCTTATACAGGAAGGGCTTCGTACGGCAGTGGATACATAGTTCGTGCTCCGAGCCACCTCGAACCACTACAGGTACTCAAAACGCTAACATTCGAAACCCTGAAACATTCGGGATGGGCGGGGGTGGTGACATGTTGCTGCAGCGAACACTAAAATATATAATCAGATATCTTGATATTGAATCAGCCATCTGCGACGACTGACACAACATTTTACATTGCGTATTGGTCATACACAAGGTTTATTAAGAATGCATTGTCAGTGCCCTGTTGGATTAAGGCTTCCCCACGCTGTCGGCCATGCGGATTGTTTGACCATACTTCTACACAATGCACTACGATCCCGACGGACCTGAGAGTTGATTACCGGCCACGGCTACCATCAGTGGCAAGTGACATCTGAACTGGCCCTGGTCCTTACCGACTTGACCAACCCACACTGACCAGAGTGGTGAAGTATGCTCAAGTATGGCCGACATTGCATGGAGATTCCTTCCTCCGCCAGTGGATTTACAAAGGGCCTGTGCATAATTAATGTACATTATTGTTAACAATATACATTATACTAGTTAGGCCTTATTAACTATCCGTACTGGTCTATGTAAATGCATTCATCTACAGCAAAGACGTGCATACGCCGTACACATCCGTAAATAAACACGGAACGCAGTTCACGAGAGAGACGGAGCGATTAAATCAGCTCGTATCAGGTTCGATGCCATGTGGAATATTACATCACAGGACCGCGTGAGAGATGGCGAAGGTTTGGGGAGGCCTTCATCTAGCAGTGGATTGATGATGGCTGAGGGTGATCGTAATGAAGAGCTCATGTCCACGAAGCGCCAGTATTTCCCGTCGCAGTAATATATTTAATTTCACCGGGAGATAAAACAGAGGACCCGTCGAGACACATGAAACATTGCCTCTTTTGCACGGACAGCGACCTACCTGGATTGTTACATCAAGCTATTAAAGTGCAATTTAACTTTCTGCAAAGTCAACCAAACTTTCAGCCTGATGGCGTTTCTCTTTATTCTAATGTTCACATATTTAGGGCCCACAAAATGGGACGGGAATATATATAAATAAACCCGAACACACACACATTCTGTGGGCAAACATCTGTGTCCATGACCATCTCTCTCTCGTCTCTCTGCCGTATCTCGCTCATTAAGACCGCTGTTTGGAGACGGAATGCAACGCCACCCTGGATTGATGGCTTTCATTACCATGTGAAAAGGCTGTGCTCTGGGAACGGGTTACGGTTTCTACAAAAAAATCTGAACACCCACCACCCACCACCTCCTCCTCCCCAACAACGCCTCAACCCCCCCCGCCCCAACACTGAATGCTTGTCACCCTCCTCTCCCGTAGCTGGTGCTAGTAGTTCGTGTTTAAAGCCAGGGGGCTTGTGTAAGTAAGCCCCGCCGTTGTAGTCCCGTTTGTAGTTATGGAGTTTGCAAGGCGTGATATGTAGTCGTATTGTTGTTCACTTAAAAAAAATACTTACTATACAATTTATTTGCGAGTGGGTCTGTTATATTTTTTTCTGAATCAATCACAAGCTCTTTTTTTTGGGGTTCATCAGTCCACCCCGTCGGTGGATATTTCTGCAAGCGTTCGGAGACATGACTGGCAACCGAAATCCGGAATCGTCATCAACGTTGCATCTTTTGCGTGCAGTAATAATGTAAAATTATTGCCGCGGCTGCTGATGCTACGGGCAAGTTCTCTTGCTGAGGGCTTGTTGCACTCTCTCTCTCTCTCTCTGGACGGTACACACATAAAGAGCCATCCGTCTTGAAAAGGTAAGCTGTAAATAATGCGTGCGGTTTATTCCGGCTGTTTGTCGTTCATCTGCTCACGTAAAATTAAATCATAAGTTAGCAAAGGGGTCTTTCTCTCTCTCTCTCGGCGCATAATGATATGTCACCGGCAGCTATGTTGACTTAGCATTTTACACGAGAGGATGAAATGTATTCGCTTCAGTCCCCGCCAGCCCCCCCTTTCCCCTAGCCCCCACCATACACTTGTATTCTAAGCGGCTGTGTAATTTTGAAAATTGCCAACATTTGATTACCCCGGCGCAGTTTTCTGCAGAAAAAAAAGCGAAACGCGCATTTTCAATCATTTCCTGTGGATAATATTGGCACGAGAGATGAGAATCGGAGAATCGGGATTTCATGAGAAAGCTATAATTCGGCTTCTTCCTTCGCAAACGTTCATCAGCCTCATCCCTAAGCCTTCGAGGAAAAACTTTGTTTGCAGAGACAAGGGGCCTGTGTCCTCAGCCCTTACTGCCTGCCACCTGCCTTTTATTTCTGTAGCAACACCAACAAAATGGTGTGTTGCATAACAGCCGGCTATTCACCACTTTTCCCCTCCAGAGTGAAATTAATTATTGAGCTCTGTCATCTGAAAATCATCTGAGCTATGAGCCGCTGTGGCGGGATTATTGTCGGTTGTCAAGAGAAATAACCGAGCGCCGGCCAAGTGATAGAACGTGCCCGAGATGACATCAGCTCGAGTGAAGGCACTGCCGGGTGAATAATTACATCGCACGATTGTGAGAGGCTGGTGGTGGGTTGGGGAGGTCTTCATCCAACAGTTGATTGCCCATGACTGCTGCTGCTGATGATGATCATGCTCCACGCAGCGGACGCAAATATAAATAAAAACAGCTTGGTATCACTGTGTTCTTCAGGAATAAAGGGCCCTTTCTATGACGACAATTATAATGATGGTGGGGGTGACCTTGAGAATGCGTGTGCTCCTTTGGGTTTCAGGATGTCACTGCTCCCGGGATGTGCCACCATCACGCTCGCCTTATTCCAAGTGAGTCTAAGCTGAAAATTCCCATTTACATAGGTATTAGGCATGTCGCGTTTGACCTCTTAACCTTCCACTATTCACCCCTCCCCCAGCTACCCCCAGTCAAGCTATTCCATGAACTGCCAGGATCCGAGGTCAAGATTCGATTCAACAATCGATGTTATTTTTTACCATCTCGATTGTTCAGTTTTGCTCGCTTCGTTAATCTAAATGTAACCTTAACATTTGCTTGCGATGGTGACAAAAAAAAATCAGTAAAGGAGCAGCCCTGCAATTTCCTGCTTGCGCTACTGCTGGCAGAAGGGCTTCCACCACATAGAGTGAGCTCTTAGAGAGCCCCTATACATAGGGTATTTTGGCAAGATGTTAACTACCTCGCCTGGTATACATGGAGGCCGTGGGTTCGATCCCAATCCTGACGACTGCTGTATGATTTGGAGTTTTCGTGTCTCTCTCCCCGTGGTCGTGTGGATATTTCTCAGGGTCCTCCGGTTTTCCCCTCCACATTTAGAATCAACATGCGTTTTGAGTATGTGGCTGCTATACATTTCCACATGATGATAAGCCACTTCGTTGAGCTATAGTTTGTGGCCAGTTTAATGATCACGTGGCGTCATTAAAAACGAGCAGGCCATCATGTGCCTGCGTCATCATCCGAACTCGATAAATTTAGCTGCAAATTACGCGGTTGGGATTACAGTACAGTACACACAGCAAGCATCGCCACATATTGGCAAGACTGATGCCCGCTTGCAGGCCAGATGCAGGGTCATCTTGTGTCGCACAGGGGCAGCTACCGCAGGGGGTGCCCTTTCACACACACACCGTCTCGACCTGGGACGTGCTTTAACAATCATCAGAAGCGCGAAGCGTGTAACGACTTAATTTTGTACATGGGACGTGATCGGTAAACGTGGTCAAGGCATAAATATGGTGGCAGGGCCGATAAGTCCTTAATTCGGTATTCCTCCGTTAATTATATCATGCGTGGTGATCGATTTATAGTTACCCCATTCATGTATAAAGCCCATCCTTTCAATCGAGACGCTTTGTGAAACTGCGTTGGCCAAGCTCAACACATTTCTGTGTATGTAGAACTTCTTTCGCACCATACATAGTAATAATAATAGTGGCCTAAAAGCTGACAAGGAATAGCAAAATAGGCTACGTTTTAGCCAATGGCCCTCGTTGATAACAGGCGATTGAATATTGTGATAGAAGTGACGGCTCTGACACAGGAGAATGTGGGGGACACCTTCAAAGCTTTGAAATGAAACGTTGAAAATCCCCTTGGCAAATGTCTCCATGGCATTTCAGTGGGGTATCTATAGATGGATCACCATAGGTGCCATTCTACTGATGATGATGACTTGAGCACATTTGCATTGCTAAATAACTCGCATCTCATTCCCCCCGCCCCAAGGTGTTCCAGTTTACCTGCGTTCACACAAGCCCCGGTGAGACCTGACTTTTCATCGCAATAAATCTGCCCTCGGGTTATAGCCAGAGGTGTTAGGGTCTTGGGATGTGTGTGGTGGTGGTGGTGGGGAGGGGTAAGTGGTGAGTGAAGTGTATCGTATTGCTGCATATTTACGCTGAACACGCCGTAGACATTATACAAAGCTGGCTGTGTAATGTTGCGTTAAACGGGCTGGTGTTCCACACCTCAAATGTATAACGACCAGACGCATCTACGTGATGAGTTTCATTACTCCATCTGGGCAGATGTGCTGGGCAGAAGAGGGGGCCCCGGTTGGGATCATGGGCAAAGAGGGAATTAATTAGTCTGTATGCCCAGACCAAATATTGAATTTGTCGGTACCACCAGTTGTATGTACGTTGAACTTCTTTTGCACCGTACGTCGCCAACCGTGCTAATTGTTGGTGCGGAAATCGAGATGTTGCATAACTTTAGTTGGTTCCAATTCATTGACTGTATTTGGCCAATAACGGTGAATGAATCAATAACTACTTGACGTTTGTGGGTTATCAAGTAAATTCACTCTCATTGGCCACATGAATACAAAAGTACGACTTATGCTTTGCTACCTTTGGTGGTACCGATTTCTGCTCTGGCCCTTGGATTCATAGAGAGACTACATATTTTGAACGATGGAGGTGGAGGAGAGTATTGCCTCTCCCGCGGGCAGTGATGGTGCAGACCCATGGGGGGCCCTAAGCAGAAAATAAGTTTTTTGGGGGCCTCGCCAATAATGGGGAACCACTGTGGCGAGATGTTAACCACCTCGCCTGGTATACAGGAGGTCGTGGGTGCGATCCTGGCCCTGACACCTGTCACAACGCGTTCCGCGTTACATCGTGTTCCGCGTTGTACCGCGGGGCGCGTTCCACGTCGTGTGAAAAGTGGTCCCGGAAGTAAGAACCGCGTTATAGCGAAAACGCGTTGTTGTGTGAACACCGCCACGAGTTAAGCGAAGCCTGCAAGGGATGCGTTCCTACGCTGCCCTCTACTGGACACCGCGTAGTACCGCGAGCGCTTTGACAGCCTACCCCCATGATCTTCTTTGGTTCTTTCGGTAGTCACGTAAAATGAGAATAAAATAATAAAATACCACACAACGCGTTGTGGCCGAAACGTCGTGATAATTTTATTGTGTTATTTAATTAATTTTATTCTCATTCTACGTGACTTTACCGAAAGAACCAAAGAAAATGAATCCTTGCAGTCACGAAAGCTTTAAATCGAAATGCCCCCATGATCTTACGGAATGTTGAAGTTCAGCGTGCTATCATGCCACTCCGGCCGGTGCCATCACTCTGATTGGGGTAATGCTTCTCTCACGGTTTCTTCGTTGAAACAAATACATTTAAAAAAAAATGGAGAAGGGTTCACGACGCGCACAAACACACACGTGGGTCAGATCGTAACGTGGCCTTACCCAAAACAACAACAAAAATATATTTACGAATTGTAACATCGCCCGCTGCGGAAAAAAAAAAACCTCTTCCGACGCGTGAAGTCCACGGCGGTCGTAGAACAACCCCCGCGATTTGGACGATCGCCGCGTCGCCAAGGCGAGGCAAGCTCGCAAAAACGACTTTCGACTTTCGCAGGCGGGCAATTTTCACGGCTGGGCTCCCACTACGAGGAGACGATGGAGCCAGAGCGATGGGCAGCGGCGGAGCGAGCATGCCACCGCCGCTTCGGCCGCCTGGCCAGCGTCACCTCGGCCGCGGACAACGTGGCCCTGGCTCGACTCCTGAGCCCGCGCGGCACGCCGGGACCTCGTCCCTCACTCTGGATCGGGGCGCGGGTCAGCTGGGCCGCGTCCGGCGACATCGGCGCTTCGGGGAGGCCGGGACGCCCCCCTTCCCAAGCCTCTTCCGTCGGTGGCCTCGGTACGCGATTTTGCGATGTTGAACTTTCCTATATATTAAAAAAAAGGTTTGACGTCGTTGATCATTCGCAATTTTCAGTTGAAATTGCGCTCACCGTCGGGAAGCCCTTTTACAAATCGGGCAACATTGGCGTCTCCCTCCGCAGAAGCGCCCAGCGTCCCCATGCTGGAGTTCCCGGAGCGCACCGACAAGAAGTTCGCTCGCCTGCACGTCCCCGTGCCCGACCTGGACGCCGTCACCGCGTGCCTTCGCGTGCAGTGCCTCGACCCGCAGCCGGGAATCCTCACCCTCTTCTCGTACGCCGCGCCCGACTTCACCAACGCCTTCCAGCTGCGCGCCAACGTGCCCTCGGCCGCCGGCGAGGCGCTACAGGTGGCGCTCATCGTGCACGGCAAGCACGGCCCCTACCGCCCGCTGCGCTCGCTGGCCGACGGCCGCTGGCGCCACGTGTGCGTCGCGTGGGGCGGCCGCGACGGCTCGTGGGCCATCTACGTGGACGGTGCCAAGCGCGAGTCCGGCCGCGGCCTCAACACGGGCAGCAAGATCGCCGGCGGAGGGGTGTTCATCATCGCGCAGGTGGGTGGGTGGGTAGGTGGGTAGGTGGGTGGGTGTGCGCCGTTCATGTTAACTGCGTGGAGGAGCTGTAGCCGGAGGGGACATGGCAGCAGAGGGGTGGGTGTTCATTGTCACGCAGGTAGGTAGGTGGGTGGGTTGGTGGGTAGGTAGATCGGTCGGTGGGTAGGTAGGTGGGTTAGTGGGTGTGTGCCGCTCAGGTTAACCGTGTGGAGGAGCTGTAGGCGGAGGGGACAGGACACGGCCAGCAGAGGGTGTTCATTGTCACGCAGGTGGGTGGGTAGGTGGGTGGATGGGTGGGTAGGTGGGTGGGTAGGTGGCTGGGTGGGTAAGTGGGTAGATAGGTGGGTGTGCGCCGCTCAGGTTAACTCCCCATGGTCGCGTGAATTTTTCTCCGGGTCCCTCTGTTTTTTTCCTCAACATTTAGAGTATTTGGCTGCTATGAATGGCCACGTGATGAGCCACTTCGTTCAGCTGTCAAGTCGCTTCTGAAAAAGAGCTATACAGCTCAATGGACCTTACCTGATCAAATAAAAAAAATAAACTTTTGGTTTAGCTTTGTGTGAAGGGGCTGTAGCCGAGTGGGTAGGAAGCAGCGCTGCTTAGCTTAACATGCAAATTATGCGAGTTCGAATGCCTGTCTGAGATTCAGGTTTATTATTAACCCATCCTCGCAAGCTAATGCTTCTCTCCACTGAGCGATGACGCTTTTTAAATTACTACCCGAAAAAAGCGTAACGTACTCTCGACGGCATCTCAATAGTAAACAGTGCACATTAACCATGTTTACTTTTAACTGTTAAAATTAAGGCAAATCAGCTCCTATCCCACGTCCACAGAGATGTGTACTGGGGGGCGAGGATTGAGACCCCCCCCCCCACACTGCCGTCACCTGGAGACGAGGTCCACGGGGTTACCTGACGAGCACTTGAAAGTGTTAATTCGCCGCTAGGATATTAACATTCGGGCAGCTTTCACCGGCGAGCTAAAGGAACGCGCCGCAACCTTTCGTTGAGTGCACAAGTTGCAATTTTTTGACGTCAGAGGTCACTGCCGGCGCCTCGGCGGAGTGCGGTAAGCGTGCGAGGAATGCTTATCATCATCTTCGTCATCATCTTCGTCATCATCATCTTCGTCGTCATCATCATCATCATCTTTGTCATCATCATCTTCGTCATCATCATCATTTTCGTCATCATCATCATCATCATCTTCGTCATCATCTTTGTCATCATCTTCGTCATCATCATCATCATCATCTTCGTCATCATCATCATCTTCGTAGTCATCATCATCGTCGTTGTCATCATCATCATCATCGTCGTCATCATTAACATCATCGTTGTTATCACCATCGTCATCATCATCTTCGTCATCATCATCTTCGTCATCATCATCTTCGTCATCATCATCATCTTCGTCATCATCATCGTCATCGTCATCATCATCGTCGTCATCGTCGTCATCATCATCATCGTCATCATCATCGTCGTCATCTTCGTCATCATCATCTTCGTCATCATCATCTTCGTCATCATCATCATCTTGGTCATCATCATCATCTTCGTCATCATCATCTTCGTTGTCATCATCATCATGGTCGTCATCATCGTCATCATCATCATGGTCGTCATCGTCGTCATCATCATCATCATCGTCGCCGTTCTTGTCTCTGTAGGTGATTTTCCAGGTTTGACCCTGAAACTGGCACCCAAGTACTTGAGGGTTTTATTTTTCTTGTTTGCCAACGAAAGCCATAAATCTTTAAAGACCGGCGGGTATGAATTATTCCCTACAGCGTTATCGCACAAGGTCAAGTTTTTTTTGTTCTTTGAATGACGAAACCTATATTCGATCGACCGACTACCGCACGTGTTAACATCAAATATATGTTTGTGTACGTGTGCACATGCAGTGCGTTTGTACGACCGAGGTTTAATTACGGACACGGCTGTTTCTCCCCCCACTCGAGATTTCCTTTGAAGCTGTTGAACGAGAGCGGGCCAAGAGCAGCAACAGTAAATCCCCGCTCGCTAGACAAATGAAAATGTGATTAAATAAATAATTAATCGACGTGGGGGGGGGGGGGGGTGGGGAGGAAATGAAATCAAAGTTGTTTTCCTTGTTCTCCTTCTTCCCGTGGTAAACGCCCGTCAACAAATTACGGCTTTCAACAAATTGCAGTGAGTCGTGAGCTTCCCTCCGGAGACCCGCGGCTCATTCCGTAAGTTACCGGGGGGGGGGGGGGTCATGATCGCAGGAAAGGGCCTCTCCTGGGCTTCCCCCCGAGTTAGCCTTTGAAACACAAATTTATTTATTTTAACTTTTTTCCAATCCCGTACTTTCAGTAAAATTCCCCCGAGCGCGCGCCTCGTTTGGACACTCGTGACGCGCGCGTGCGTGCGCGCGAGCGGTCGTGTGCGAGTTTCCTAAGCAACAATGCAAACTGGCTGATACGGAACACCTTTTCTATATATATAAAACCGTAAAGACTCCTCGGTGTATTTGGTGTTATTTTTTCAGAACCGTTTTTTTTTTTTAAAGCGTAGTGGGTGGTGGACGTGCAGCAGTTTTTGTTGGAGGCCTTGGCATCCGTGCCGTGTCACGACAGCGGACGCGTTATAGGGGGCAGGCCGGGTGGCTCGGAGGTCAGAGACGGTGAAGTTGGAACCGCAGAGAGAGGCCCCCTGCGTTCGAATCTGGCTTCTGGCCACCCTTGGTTCAAACCGCGTTCCCCTAAGGTTCAACAGATTTCCTTGTGTTTAACCCAGATGTGAACTCGAGAGGCCGGATGAGTCTCGTTTGCAGCAGTCGCTCGGGGCATTGGTCTACCCTTAGGGAGTGGTGGTTGCTGCTGCTGCTGCTAACGCTTCTCTCCACTGAGCGATCTGGCTTTTAAATTACTAAAAACAAATGCGTAAACTACGCTAGGCAGCATCTCAATAGTAAAGAGTGCGCATTAACCATGTTTACTTTTGACTGTTAAAATGAAGATAAGTAGCTCCTATCCCATGTCGACAAAGATGTGGACTGGGGGCTAGGGGTGGCGAATGGAAATTATTTGCCCCCAAGATGTATTCATGGTGTGGGAGACCCTCCCACCTCTCGCCCACCCCCGCACTGTCCACAGAGCTATATAGGCTCAGCGGGCCTTGCCTGGTAAAACAATTAAACAAATATAAAGGTTTATAGTTTAAGTCGCATTTCCCTGCGTGGGAGTAACCTCCACTAGCCGCGTAACGCGAAAAGGCCTCCACACGTGAGCGGACTAACAAAGGGCCGTACCTGTGCTTGCGATGGGACAGGATTCGTCACGTAGATCTGATTTCAACTTGCAATCGATTTACTGCATCCTAAAGTCATTAATATATTATTTTGAAAAAGGATACCCAGGTCTTTTGTTTCATCTCGTTTTTGGATAGGAGAGATATTTTGGCAAATCGTATACATTGTCATCTTGTTTTCACGCACCACAATCTATTGGACGTACGTATATATATATTTTTTCATTATCATTTATAACAAACAAAAATTGGGAAAGGTTCAATTGGCAAAATGGCATTCATTCCGGGAAAACGATTTGGCATGTTTCAAGAAATTGGGATTGTAGTCTGGGTTGAGACTGAATGGACAAATGTCTCTGTTGTGAAATGTTTTTGTGCCTTTAGTTTTTGTGCAATTTCCTGATTTGTTTGTTCAATTTCATTTTCTGAGGGTTTTCATCTGCTTGGCAGTTGCTATAAATGGGATTTGGCAGACATATAATCAATGGACAACAGTTGTGGGAGGCAATAAGCATGAATGACGCCATACAAATACACCATTATATTTTTATCTGCGTGCTCCATTGACTGTCGTCATTACCACCATCACCATCATCACCACCGTCATCATCGTCGCTATCAACATTTTTTGTCATCATCATCGTCATCATCATCGTCATTATCGCCGTCATCATCATCGTCATCATCGTCATCATCGTCGTCGTCGTCATCATCGTCATCATCATCGTCATCATCGTCGTCGTCGTCATCATCATCATCGTCATTATCGCCGTCATCATCATCGTCGTCATCATCATCATCGTCATCATCGTCGTCATCATCATCGTCATTATCGCCGTGGTCATCATCATCATCATCGTTGCCATCGACGTCGCTCCTCACAGGAGCAAGATTCCCTGGGCGGCGCGTTCAAGCGCGACGAGGCGTTCAGCGGCAACCTCACCGACCTGCGGCTGTGGCGGCGAGAGCTGGGCGAGGACGAGGTGGCGGCGCTGGCATCGTCGTGCGCACCGCCCCACGCCGCCGGCGCCGCCAGCGACGCGTCGCTCCTCTTCTCCTGGGACCTGTGCCAGCTGGAGGTGGAGAGCTCCGTGAGGATCTCCCAGCACGTCCTCCAATGTAACGGTACGTGGGTGGTGGGGGGACACAGCTAAAACAAGAATCGGAAAAGCTGACAAAGCCTTTGCCGTTGCAGCAAACAACGTTTTGGAAGAGCCTCGTTACCTCCCTTCACATCGTCCATCTTCCTTCAAAAAAATAACCCTGACGCTGAAGATTAGTGCTCGATACAGCAGACACATTTGCGAATGTTGATTTGAAACTTCGATCCTTACCTGCGTACCGATAGTTCAATGTCAACGTGCCATGCATGCTTCAAATTACACCCGTTAAATTAAACGCCCACGAATACTTACGTTGGAGAGCGTTGCATAATCCATGCGCCGCATGCGTAGAATGCCATCGAGAGTGAGACACACACGCAGGTTAAACTGTTAAGAAAAGTGTGTGTGTGTATGTGTTGCCAGCGTATCAACGTTGGACAATGTATACCCTACTCCGGTTCTATTATCCGTTGTGTTGTTGCTGAAAATAGAAATACAATTAAAAAAAGGCTTTTGGCCAGAACACGTCGCGGGAAGGGACGATGGAACCGTTGATGGAAAAATGACGACAAATTGGCAGCCAAGGGACGGAATGCACCCAGGATGAGTGCGTGCCAGGGAAATGGAGTGGTGAAATCATCAGCTCATGCGCAGGTGCTGGGCGGATGATTACATCGCAGGATCGTGAGAGGTGTTGGCGGCACCTCTCATCCGTAGATCCCAATGTTGCGCCCGTGTATGGAAATCAGGAAATAAACTGGAGCCTAAATCTTGACTTAACGCTTTCATGACTGCAGGAATTCATAGTCTTGGGTCTTTCGGTAAAGTCACGTAGATAGGTTCAAAGAAAATGACAAAAAAAATAAGACAAAAACTAGACGTTTCGATCGCGACACAAGCGGTCGTCTTCAGGAAAAAAAACGACCGCTTGTGTTGCGATCGAAACGTCTATTTTTTTCTTATTTTTTTGTCATTTTCTTTTAACCTATCTACGTGACTTTACCGAAAAACAGGAGCCTGCAGGGTCAACGGCCAGACCGAGCGGTGGTTCATGGCCAGTTTACAGAGGTGAGTTTCTAGAACAGATTTTAAATATATCTAACGACTCGGATTGTGTTGTTAGCAAAGGCAAAATGTTGGTCCAAAGCTTGGGAGCTGCACTGGCAAAAGCGCGATCAGCCCTCCAGGAACAGAGCCTTGACTTCGGAGTACTTACAAGAAGGCGATCCGAAGATCCCAAGAACCTCGTCGGTGTATAAAGATGGATCAGTTCCAATGCCCACACCACAAATACGAAGGAGACATCACAGTGGCGATACACTCCGCTACTCCTGCTGCGGTTGGCTGGCTTGACCACCTGAATGTGCCATTGCAGTGGTTGTTGCTCTGCGTCGACATCAGCCGTACGACAGAAGAAGAAGAAGTTCCTGCAAATATTTCGGGGCAGCTGCTGGCAATGCGCGTAAACGCGCTGCGTGTGAGCCCCCCGTTTCCTTTCTCCCCCTCCCCCCCCCCAATCTTCCGTCGTCAGATTCCACGCCCGGAGTGGCGATCGGCTTTGCCCGCGGTGGCGGTGAGCCCGGCGCCCGCCGGCAAGCGCCGCCCGTCGCCGTGACCTGGGCCGACGGCTCCGTGTCGACCTTCCACAACGTGAGCGGCGGCGGCGCTGCGGGCGCTGGCGGCGCTTGCGCTGGGGGCTGCGCGGCGCTGCACCCAGCCACGGGCCGCTGGGAGGTGTCGAGCTGCGACGACAGGAAGCCCTTCCTCTGCGAGTACCGGCAGAGTGCGTCGCGCCAACGTCCGTCCGTGTGCGCGTGTGTGCGATGGTGTCGGCACGGTAAGGGGGTGCAGCTGGTGCATCTGCCAGTCGTCTCAGTCGGTCGACCCATGGCAACCTGGGTCTGTCGCGTGACCTATCAGCGAGCCTTCGACACTTCACGTGGCCTCAAAGTGCACCTGGCCTGGCACAGGCGCCGTGGTGACGCCACTTATTGGTGAACGACGGTGGTTGCGTACGGGGAGCGATGGTGGAGCGGTTAGTGCGCTGCGCTACGGACGCGGCGACACGAGTTCGATTCTCGCTCACGGCCAACATCAGTGACGAATATTTTAACAATTTCTGTCCCCCCTCCCCTCAAATGAGTAAACATCGCCACAGGGGAGACAAAGGTGGTCGTGTGTAGTGCTGGCCACCCACCCTTCCTCGTGTGCCACCTTGCCGGCCTTCATAAGTGCTGCTACTCGCTACTAAGAGCACTTGCCCTCATTCGTCTGTCCAGGCTATATGGGGGATCTTTGTGTGTGAAGTCGACTGAGCCTCGAATATTTCTTTTCAGCATTAAGATGTTGGCCAGCGGTGTAGGCCAATCAGTTTCAAAGACAATGCATAAATAATTATCAGTATGTGTGGTTAATGCGGACTTGATACCTTGCAATAGGTATCTATTTAGTGTTTGAACATCTTTTCACTTGTTTCATTGCCAGAAAGGGTAAAACCTTTTCTTCTTTTTCATCGTTTTTGATGCTGACAAAAAGGTCCCAGAGACACAACGTATGTTTTGATCTACGGAAAGAAACCAGAAAAACCCATGCCGAACAGTGGGAGAACACACACGTCCCACGCAGAAACGCGTCCGGATCGGAAATCAAACCGAGGGCCTTCTTGCCCATGAGCCACGAGGGATAACCCACTGCTCTCACCACCTTGCCACCCCAGAGGTATCGTCTAGAACAGTGAGTGCTGACATCTTCCTGCATGTGCTGGGTCGTTGTAGGTGCCTACGAGAGTTACCAGGCGCTGGCTACGGAGTCCGAAACGCCGTTTGCTGCCAAACTCAACGGTCTCATCGGTGGCTCTCTGGTGGGTTCACGTTTTGTTTTTGGGGGGGGGGAAATCACACTCCCGGCGCTTTTAGGGCGTCAAACGGATGTGTGTACAATCCGAACGTCGTGGTTATACTTTTTATTTTATTTTAAACACAGTTTGCTCGAGCACTGGCAGAAAAAGTTCCCAAAACGTCAGGACAGCCATGGACGAACAGCGCTCTCACGAAGTTGTATTGGATAGGAGTTAAACTCGTTCCTCCATTTCATACATTTTATTACTGTTAAGAGCTTCACGGGTAGGGGGGTGGGGGGTGAAGAGGCGATGATGTGGGTGAAAGGGAATTCCAAAGTGGAGCAGTGCGAGGGAAGAAGCAGAAAGAGACGCGTTTTGAAGATGAATTTGTGTTTGTTTTTTTTAATGCCCGCCGATCGAGACCATCAACTCACCACACTTGAGAACACAGTTTAATCCACGGGCAGCTGAAACCAATATTCGAAATTTATTTGAAGCTTTCGTGACTGCAGGAATCCATACTCTCTGGTTCTTTCGGTAAATTCACGTAGATAGAAAAAAGTACGACGTTTCAGTCGCAACATAAGCGTCCGTCACGGGCATTGGTCCGTTAGGAGTGAGGAATGGCTGGGCTAACTCAGGGGGTCGGCAACTTGGGGCTTCGGAGCGGCGTGCGGCTCTTCAAGGACCGCTGCTTCGTGACGTAATTCATCAAGGACGACCGTCTCGTGTTCACCACGTGCATGGCGGATCTTGAAATATTGAGGGTTTTTTTGCCGAATTCGAAAGGAAAAATGCCTCCTCATTATTTCGGTTTTCCGACCCCTGTTCTAGACAACGGGGGGGGGGGGGCTTTAAATTGATGCAATTCTGAGTGGTATGATAGAAGACATATGGACAAAAGATAGAGGATGCTGTTCGGTAATATAGATGTAGGAAAATAAATTTGAGATGTAATGAGATGAGATGAGAGAGATGCAGACTACATAGAAGTGAGAGATAGATTGGCGTGGTGTTGCGTTAATCAGCTGGTGATGTTTATTCAGATTTAGATTCGAGATGGTATATGATGCGCCCCGTTTCTTCACGCACCCAGGTCCAACTTGACGTCAGAATCTGAATATTTATTCATACCGGAGGAATCCGATTACCTATAAAGCGTTTTGTTTCACAGATGTCCAGTAGGGGCAGGTCAGAACGCTACAACAACAACAACCAATACAAAAACACGATGAGGAGTGCAAAGTACAGGAAAAATAAAGAATCACTTTATATAAAACTAAACAATTTTTCTACGTTTTATATTCAAATCAACATACTTGCGGCCCTACGCATTCGTTTTATGTGCTTGAGCCTAGCGCATCTCCTGCTCAGGAGTTACTGTCCTGGTGCCTGAGAAAACGAGCTAAAGTGTGCCCAAGCAAGCCACCAAAATGGTTTAACAGAACAAATGAATGGACCAATCAAAACACTTCCCCGTTCCCCGTTCCTCTACCCTTGGCCGTGTTTCCCTGAAGCCAGATGTGCGGCTTAACTTTCCAGGAACTGGTTGGCAATGCTGAATAAAAGGCGTTCAGTCCAGGAATGTGCCACACTTTAAATATACGCACACACACAGGCAACATTTTTTTGCACATTTCTTGCATCCCAACATTTGGCACGAGTCTCATTTGCCAAACGGTAATGTCTTCCAGTAACATCGCAGGGTTGTGAGAGATGGCGGGGACTTGGGGAGAGCCTTCAACCGGCAATGGATTGGCAAACAACAGTCATCGGATTTGCTACACTCACTCACCCACTCACTCACCCACTCACTTCCCCACTCACTCACTGACTCACCCACTTAACACACTTACTTATCCTCTGGAGAGAAGGAGAGACAGGAATCCATACTCTTTGGTTCTTTCGGTAAAGTCACGTAGGTATAAAATAAATTAAATCACGACGTTTCGGGCGCAACACAAGTGCCCGTCATCAGGTGGAACAACCACAGCAATAAACAATTGCTGAAGTGTGCAAGAGGAGGCTGCTTGTGACAAGAAGCTATATAAGTAAGAGAGGGGGGGGGGAGGAGCCAGGGAGGAGAGATAGAGAGGGTGTGGGGTAGGGGGAGTGGGGAAGTGCAAGCTCCAACACCGAGTACAACACAAGGCCGGGCTGGGAAGTGAGCGGGGCATTTTGCCGTACTCCATTCCCCCTACCCCACACCCCACCATCTCTATCTCTCCTCCCTGGCTCCTCCCCCCACCCCTCTCTTACTTATATAGCCTCTTGTCACAAGCAGCCTCCTTTTGCCCACTTCAGCAATTGTTTATTGCTGTGGTTGTTCCACCTGATGACGGGCACTTGTATTGCGCCCGAAACGTCGTGATTTAATTGACCTTATTTTCTACCTACGTGACTTTACCGAAAGAACCAAAGAGTATGGATCCCTGCAGTCACGAAAACTTCAAATCTAGATTGAGAGACAGGAAGTAATGCAGGGGGAGGGAGTTAGAGGGTGGTGGTGGTGGGGGGCATAGCGGCCTCACCAGAGACAAAACTACCACACGATCGCACCTCCCCGCAGGTGTCCGACTACCTGGCGCTGAACAGCACCAAGTTGCTCGCCAACGCGTCGGAGGCGGGCGTGCTGATGGGGGCCGCCCTGCAGGCGATGGAGGGCGACCGCGTGGCGCTGGCTCCGGCCGACCTGCTGGCCGTCGCGCGGCTGCTGGGCAGCGTGGCCGACATGGGCCTGGTGGAGGGGCGGCCCCACATCGGGGCCCCCGGCGACCTGGCGGGTCGCTTTGTGGCCCTCGCCAGCGGCTGTCTCTCCCCGAACAACTCGGGGCAGTGGCAGCGCATAGAGCAGGTGCGCCTTGGATTTTATCATTTTGTTTTTGTTCACGTGAGTTACTCAAAATGGGCCAATGCGTCAAGTGGCCAGCAACTAACAGCGCTATCACAGCGGTAATAATGATAGGGCAATTTCTAACACGTGCACCTCCGATCAGCGCGGTTGGCTACGTACGGTGCGAAAGAGGTTCAACGTACATACTGCACCACTATCTCGTGGAAAGGATGCGAGAAATTGATTTGTTACTTTTTGGTATGATCAATTACTCGAATGTGGTTCAATTGGATGAAAAGTGCTTCAGAGTTGTTCAATTTACCACCCACCCCACCAACCCCACCCCACCACGGAGAGTGATGTTCATCGCACGATGTACAATCCGATATTTTTAATGCTCGCAGCTGGAATTTGGCCAAATCAAGCGCAGCAACACATTGATTGAGATAGTTTTTCTATGCACTCATTGGTGGCCGTGCTGAGATCATCGATTCACTTTCACTCAAGAACCCGGTTTGAGTTGCCCACGGGCTCAGCCATACCAGCTCAGCTCTCTTCTTTTTTTAATGCTGTCTACATGTTGAACTTCTTTCGCTCTGGGTTGAGCCGTTCCGTTGCTTGTGAATACGCACGAGCGGCTCGGCCGTGGCTCGGCTCCGGCTGACCTCGTGGAAATCTCGCGCGTTGCTGGGACCGTGCTCAGAGCCGGCTCGCGTTGAGTGCTTGGCTCAGCGCCGGCTCGCTTGAGCCGCAAACCAAGTCTAAGCTGAGCCGTGACTGTGAACGTGGAGCTGAGCCTGCGTGCTGAGACTGGTCACCACGGAGGACATGACCTGCGCCTTGTCGCACAGCGGTTGTTCATCGACCCTCGGTGTGCGGTTTAATCAACACGCGTTCATGCGTGTGCGTGTGTCTGCGTGTGTGTCTGTGTGTGTGGGGAGCGGTCGTGCAACGGTGAGCGACCTGCGCTTCGGACACGACGACCCGAGATTGATTTTTGCCGCTAACGGCCCAACACCGGTGACGGTGACCCGAACCGGTCCTGGGCCTCCCGCTAGGTCGACTCAGCCTCAAATGAGTATCTGGTGCGGTGTGTAAATATCGCCACTGGGGAGACAAAGGCGGCCGGGCATGGTGCTGGCCAGCCACCCCCTCGTGTACTGTTGCTGCCTTCATATGCTTCTCGCTAGTGGCACTTGCCCCAACAGTCTGGCAAGGCTATACGGGGGACCTTCGTCTTTTTTGCGTCTGCTGTATAGGTGGTCGGCAGCGGAGGCCCGATGGCTGTGGTGGAGAGTTTGGATAAGTTTGCGTTTCAGTTGGCCGACTCGCTGTCGTCCGAAAAGCTCAACATCACCCTCAGCGAGGAGAACATTGGTGAGGACCTCGCATGCAGCACCGACAGTTCGGGGCGGTGGCTCGGCGGGGCGAGAGGCGTGTTCGCCGATTCACGGTTCAAATTCCGCAGGGCGCTCTGGTTAATACTGCGGGCGTATTAATCATAAGATATCATGCTCTCTCTCTGTCTCTCTCTCTCTGAAGATGCACAAAATCTGCACGTAAATAAAATAAATCTAAATTATTATTTTTATATTTTAAGGTGCCCAGCATCCGTGCCGTACCACGGTGATTGGGGGCGCCATTATGTTTGACGCTTTCAGATTTGCGCATTGAGCACCTGGAGCTGGAAGGCGTGCGAGTGAGCGGAGTGGTCTTCAACCCCAGTGACGAAGCCGAAAGCCAGAGCAGCAACCAGATCGAGATACCCGCCGCAGAGGTTGAGAGATTGCTATCCGCAGGTACGGATCTCTCGCACAGACCGATCACTTCGGTGTTTCCATTTGGGTGTTTCTGTGTCGTTGTTTTGCGTGCGTGTGCTTCTGGGTGCTCACTAACGACACTTGCCCCCGCAGGCTATTAAGGCTACTTGGGGTATCTTTGTCTTTGGTTCGTGTGGTCCTGGGGGAGTAGCCGTGGTGTAGCGGTTAGCGCTATGCTGTGCTACGAACCCGGCGACCCAAGTTCGATTGCCGCTCACGGCGCAACACCCGTGACGATTATCTGAACCGTTGCTGGGCCTCCCCTAGGTCAATTCCGCCTCAAATGAGTGCCTGGTGTGGTGTGTAAACATTGCCACTAGGGAGATAAAGGCAGCGGGGCGTCCTGCTGGCCACCCACCCACCCCCTCGTGTGCCGTTGCGGCCTTCATAGGTGCTCGCTAACAGCGCTTCCCCCAACAGTTTGTTAAGGCTATAGGGGGATCTTTGTTGGTGGTGGTGGTGTTCCAGTGCTTGCGATAAGAAGCCAGTGACCTACATTCGATTCGCCGCCACGGTTCACATCGGTGGCTAATTGTGTCAGAACCTTTTTGGGTCTACCCTATGGTTGACTCATCCTTAAACGAGTACCAGGTGAGGTGTGTGAACATTTGCATTGGGGGAGACAAGAGCAGCCGGGCGTGGTACTGGCCATGCTGCCCCCTTGTGTGCCGTGCCAGCGTGAATAGACGTCTGCTATCGGTGCCTGTCCCCAGCAGTCTGGTTTATACTGGTAGGAACCTCCTGGTTACACCAGCCCACAGGGGATTATTGTGTCCGTCCATCCGTCGTGCATCCAAAAATGGGAGAGGTGGGCCTGGTGTAGAGGGGAGGGTGGGGAGGGGCTGGGTGGGGAGGGTGGGGCTGGGTGGGGGGTGGGAGGGGTGGGGCTGGGTGGGGAGGGGCTGGTCACCCCGTGGTGCCCTTATAAAATTCAACGTTTAACCTACTCACGCCGGCTTGTACCCGCCCTCACAGTCGGGCATATTTGCGGAATAAACCACGCCGCCGTTGACCCTGGCCATTGACCGAGCAATCCAACGTTCCTACGAGCTCTCTCCGCAGGAATGTGTTATGGGGAATGATTGTCTAGCAGTGGTGCAACGTGGCCACATATCTTTCTCACAACGCCAGTGCAGCCTTTGAGCAGAATCAGAATATTTCTTTTGAAACTGGAGGAATCCGACAAGGTATGAAGCTATTTTCCACTGATGTCCAGTAACCTGCAACTAAGATTTCATCAACCACGACAGTGGCAGGGTAGGTGCAGGTGAGGACGTCAATCGCGGAGGTGGAGCGATGCAATCGACCCGCATGCTGCTTGCCTGGTGGATTGTTGCATCTCAGAACTGTTGTGGATGGCGACAGCTTGGGGGATGCCTTCGTACAGCAGTAATCCTTGCGGATGATGATGATGTTGTTGTTGAATGTATGTGCAACTAGGGCATGAAGCGCTTACCTTCATTCACGCTCATTACAGCAGCCTCCCAGCTCTACTTGGTTCTGACGCTGCCTTGCTTCAGTACAGCAGGGGGCCCGTGTTCCTCACCAAGGATGGCAGAGCACGGTGAGTCTGCCTTAAAGGGTTCCCGCATTATAAAACCGAGTCGCGGGGGAAAAAATGGCAACAAATTAAAGTGTGTTTTTTTTATGTTTGTCAAATCAAAAATTCCGTTAAATGTCCAGGAGAGAGCAGAGAGTTCTGGGAACAGCTGTCGTTTCATCTTCAACGCGATTACCCAGAGTTCTTGGCGGGGCCCCGACTGAGATCTCAACATCCGTGCAGTACACGCTGCATCATGTCACTCAGGTACGCCGCTCGCAAACGGCACGGACATCAAAAGCTGGGCATTAAAAAACAACGAAATAAAACACCATAATCCCATCGGCGTCATTCAATAAAGCAGTTATTCTCTTGTCTTGTTTCAGGCCGTCTCTCTAAAACCTGCAAAACCCATGTGTGTATTCTGGGATTTTAAGCCACAGTGAGTACCGATTGTCAACATACACCCTTCTTGCTTCGTTCTGAACGTAAAAAAAAACTTAAAAAATTGGAAGTGGCCACGTGGCTCGAATGTGAAGGGCGCCAAGCCGACACAGCTGAGAAGCTGGGTTCCAATCCAGGTTTCAGCCGTCTCTCAAGTGTGGTGAGTTGATGGTCTCAACCAAGTCACCAGTGAGAGTGTGAAACAACCCCATCATATTTAATTTTGTTGTGCACTTCATTTGGCCAAATTCCTCTGCTGAGAATTACAAATGTTGGTTCGATTGTCATACAAAGATGATCACTCTCAAGAGGCAGGGCGGGTGGACGAGAGGTCACTGGAAGATATCTGTGGCAGCTCTGTAATATCCACTTCCGTGAGCGAATTTCTCAGATCTAAGTTTGCTATTCGGACTTCATCTCTCACTGAATGTTTGGTCGGTCGCGAGTAGCCCTCAGTAGGCACCATGACCAGTAGCCACAGCCATAGCAAAAGGTTTACATTACTGGATGCCGTATAAGGAAATACCTGCTGGGTCGCTGACCCAAACAGATCAAGTTTATATTATTGGTTCTTTCGGTAAAGTCACGTAGAAGGGAAACAATAAAATAATAAAAATATAAAGCAATAAAATTGTTTTATATTGTTTTATATTTTTATTATTTTATTGTTTCCCTTCTACGTGACTTTATTTATTGTTTCCCTTCTACGTGACTTTACCGAAAGAACCAAAAATATGAATCCCTGCAGTCACGAAAGCTTTAAATCAAGATCAAGTTTAATTTAAGGCCCCGGTTGTACTGTGACTCAGGCTGCATTATTTCAGCTAGGAAGGCCCCATTGACCTTAGCAGCTCCGTTACAAGGACTGTTACACGACATTGTAGTTACACAGAGTTACACGGAAATCCATATAGTTACATAGAAAGACGTATTCTTAGGGATCTATAGAGTTGCATAGAGACTCGGAGACCACAGCCCAAGACGGACAGCACTGGCGGCCGTTACAAAACATCGTAGGGTGGGAACGTACAAACTAACAAGAGCAGAAACCGCAATTATTTACAAGAAACCCATGCCACAACTAAACTGCAAACAGCATAAACAACAGTGTTTAATTACAAATCTCAAAGACACACAGAGTGTCGGCGCTGTTTTGCGAATGATCGGAATGCAGACTTTCCTTGCATCATGCTATGATCGCCGATAGCACCATTGGGATAAAATTGTGGAAAAATCCTAATTTAAAGAAAAACGTCAACAAAACCCAAAACTCAGCTTTTTTGTCATTCCGGGTGGCATACGGCGATGCGAGTGGTGCGTTTTGACGACTCATGGGATACATTTTTTGCCAGTATCAAAAGGGCTCCCATGACATAGCTGCTCACCCCCAAGCTATAAATGCTCTGATATGTGCATTGTCTTTGTACTGTTCGTCTTTTGGCGTTCTCTGGCCTGACACTGGCGAGACTAGGCCATAAAGAACAAGGCTATCTCTGGTGTAGGCCAATCAGTTTCAAAGACAATGCTCACATTATCAGAGCATGTTTTGTTTGCATGGTCACCACAACCATGTGTGGTTAATGCAGACTCACGTAGAGTCTGCATTAACCACACACAATGCAGACTCACGTAGAAGGGAAACAATGAACTAATAAAAATATAAAACAATACAATTGTTTCCCTTCTACGTGACTTTACCAAAAGAACCAAGAATATGAATCTCTGCAGTCACGAAAGCTTTAAATCAAAATATTAACACCTGTTTTATTTTTTGTTATTTTCTTTGAACCTATCTACGTGACTTTACCGAAAGACCCAAGAATATGAATACCTGTTTCATTGCCAGAAATGGAAAAACCTATTATTATTATTATTTCTCACATTTTGTCGACTGTTCGCTGGCTGCCTTTCCAGGATGGGATCGGGGGGCGGCTGGTCAGACAAAGGCTGCAAGCTGATCCGTACCGGCACTGAATCCACGTCGTGCTTTTGCAACCACACGACCAATTTCGCCGTGCTCCTGCAGGTGGTGGAGGTAGAGGTAAGACGGTGCACCGTCTACACAGGCGGGCTCCGGTTTACGACGGTCCGATTTATATCACTTCCTGCCGATACATAATACCGAGGGTTCCCACCTCAGGGATATAAAAAAACAACCCAGCACATGCCGCAAGAAGAATAATATCTCACAATAGCAGACGAAGTGAGAAGATGCATGTAAATGAGGCATCTTGAGCTGTGTATTATCATTATTATTATGCAAGTGACAAAAAAAAGCCGGGGCTTTTAATGTTCCGGAAGACTCGTAGATTTCCCAGGACAGCTGCCTCAAAAAGGGGACGATCTTTGGGAAAAGGAAAACAGGTGGCAACCTCATATAGCATGCATGGGCGGCGTGACACACGCCCCTCCACCCCCACCACGGAGCGGCACCGGGAATGCAAGTTCAATTTTTCTTTCCAATGTTGTTAAATTCATTTAGTTTAAATTTGATATTTTGCTCTGTGGTTCACGAGTTTCTCTTTACTGCCGCTCTGCCTTCATCATCACGCACACGCTGACCTTCTAGAGCTCGCAATTTTTTTACATTTTATTTTTTGCACCGTGAGCTGTAACGTCAAATGTCACCTTGCTGTTACTAATTCAATGTACGCCGGATAAATGTTTATTATTATTTACTTACTATCACGTATTATTTTTCACGGAGTTTGTTTCTAGTGGCTCAAAAAAAAAACCCCACGACATCATCCGATTCTTCTTTTTTTCTCCTACTCCTGTTGCATTGCGGAAAAAAATCTGGCGTTTGATTTTCACGGGAGCAAAAGTTTGACGAGTTACGGTTAAAAGGAAGAGCAACCTTTTCATCCTCATTGTTCCAGTTTTTTGCCAATTTAAGCCGCAGTCTCTGCCATTCTGGTACTGGCGGAAGCTTTGGCCATTCCGTTTTGTATTTTTCAACAACAACAACAACAAAGAGAGCCGGAGTCCACAGAATGAAGGCGATCGGGATGCCCATGTGAAAATGTAAGTGCCTAGAGCTGTGATCTAGGAGACAAGAGGGAAATACGAAGGGTTGGAGGCACGTACTTTCAGAGAGAGGTAAGAGGAGGAAGGAAGAGAGACGAGTGGCTGGCAGTGAGTACCCAGCGGGGTGAAAGGATCACGGATCAGATCAACGACGAATCATCACAAGCAGACTAAATCTTACAGGACATCATCATCACGATCCGTGGGCAGATAGCCCGCGGGTGTCCGCTGGACATGCTGTCATTCGTTTCCACCTTCCTCCGCCCTTGTGCGGTGGTGGAAAATTACCGACGTGCGACGAATGCCACTACGGCACTTTTCAGAATGATTCCCAGGCCTACACGGCAGAATTTCTACGGAGGGGAATGGCAACTAACGCAGGCTGCCGGACAAACAGGTTTAATATCGCGACTTATAAATTTCCGTTTCCACCACCGCCTAACAGACCACGTGCGAACCCCTGTAACAGAGAGCCCCACGGATGGAAGCTCTGCCAATGCTGCACCGGGCCGTTGGCCAGCCACTGCCCATTTGCAGCCCTATGACCAAATCATGCGCGGCCATTCACTCCGCGACAGGTTTATCGCGAGCATTTATTGGCACCCGGGCTGAGATCATTGAGAGAGCTTCGATTTATATGCCCTGTCTGCCTTGCAGGAGGCAATGTTCGCATTTTTTGGCACGTGCTTTGAAGCAAGGTCCACGGAGGAACCGTGTTCACAGGTTTTCAGGAGTCCACGACGTCCCAAACATCGTTTCATTGCGGCGATGATAATAATAACAAAAATGTAAAATAAAATATCATCGTAAAAAATACACCGTGAGATTCGACATGCTGCGGCGGTCCGCTCGCGCGATTGACCACGGCCCCTTTGGCTCGGCCGTAAAACGGCGCGATTGTGTCTCAGCTGACGAATGTGCAGCTCATTGTTTCTCCGCACACTTTCTTTGAATGAACAAACTTCCCGCCCCCCCCCCCCCCCCTAATGTCCACTGCTCAGCCTTCAGCGTGACCAGCTTTTACAGCCTCCCGTGATATACGCACAAATCATTCTCTTAAAACACAACAAGAGAGGAGCGCAATACGGTTTGGATTTATCCAGCGGCGGCGGAGGCAGCGGGCGGCAGGCAGCAGGGCGGGCTGTGACGTTGGCCCGGCGGTAGCGCCGCTCGTTGCCAGAGGTTCGTGGTTCGACTCCCCGGCAGGCCGCCCTGGCTAATGCCGTGCGGTGCGTATCAAGCGTAAAATACGCGGCGTCTGCTTCACTCGCGGTGGGCGTTAAAGGCCCCGTGGCGGCGTTCGAAAAGAGCATGAGCCATTGTGTGCCGGTGTCGCTGTAGACATTTTTTTTTAAAATCTACTTGTAAATTGTTCAATAGGGATTACACGTCGCAACATCACCCCCTGCTTTGAAACTACTCCACACTGTGTCTGTGTATCATAGCGCCGTGGTGACAGCCCTGTGCGATAAGGATGGCATGAATACCAAATGTACTAAGTTATAATTACTATCAAAATGCAACTCTATCGGAGCATGTTGCTTAAAGAAAATGGTATTTAGGCTTCATATGGAAAATGGGTATGAATGTGTGCCGGTTTATTTTTGTATTTGAATAAAAAAGAGGCAGTCAGTCATTGTAAGAGCAATAGAGGAAAAGTCTCGAGCCTAGACTTTAATCGGGGCAGAGAGTTAGGAGCACAGATCACTGGGGGGAGGGAGTTTCAGGCCATGGGGGCAGCAGAGGAGAATGAGCGACGTCCCACTGAACAAAGGCCGACTCGAGGTCTCGAGAGAAGGCGTCGATTTCTGGAGCAGAGATCATGTGCAGGGGGAGTGGAGTGAGATGAGCGGGGAGAGTAGTGAGGAGATTGCTTGAAGGGGAGTAGAGTGAGATGAGAGATGAGAGGTAGGAGAGTGCGTGGAGGGGGAGTTGAGTGAGATGAGAGGGGAGAGGTGGGAGAGTGCGTGGAGGGGGAGTTGAGTGGGATGAGAGGGGAGAGGCAGGAGAGTGAGTGGAGGGGAGTAGAGTGAGATGAGAGGGGAGAGGTGGGAGAGTGCGTGGAGGGGAGTGGAGTGAGATGAGAGGGGAGAGGCAGGAGAGTGCGTGGAGGGGAATAGAGTGAGATGAGAGGGGAGAGGTATGAGAGTGAGTGGAGGGGGAGTTGAGTGAGATGAGAGGGGAGAGGTATGAGAGTGAGTGGAGGGGAGTTGAGTGAGATGAGAGGGGAGAGGTATGAGAGTGAGTGGAGGGGAGTTGAGTGAGATGAGAGGGGAGAGGTATGAGAGTGAGTGGAGGGGAGTAGAGTGAGATGAGAGGGAGAGGCAGGAGAGTGAGTGGAGGGGGAGTTGAGTGAGATGAGAGGGGAGAGGCAGGAGAGTGCGTGGTGGGGAGTAGAGTGAGATGAGAGCGGAGTGGTGGGCAATGGCGACTCCCTGGGTATTCTCGGGAGTTGGGGTGAGTGTGGTCGTGACTCTGCGCGAGATAAAAGCGCTCCCCTGTGCGCCCCCCCCCCCATCCCCCCCATCTAGCGGACAGACGCCGAGGAGGACATCCTCAATGTGCTCACCTTCGTTGGGTCCGGAGCGTCGCTCTGTGCTCTCGTCGTCACCCTGACGCTCTTCGTCGTGCTCGAGTGAGACGCCTTTTGTGTACACCCACTTACCCGCTCCCCTCCTCGTCACTCTTCTATCGCTACTACCATAGTCACTGTTACAACGACACACTCACTCACCTGCTACACCCCACTGGTAGTCACAACAGCCCACTCACTCACTCACCTGCTACACCCCACTGGTAGTCACAACAGCCCACTCACTCACCTGCTACACCCCACTGGTAGTCACAACAACTCACTCACTCACCTGCTACACCCCACTGGTAGTCACAACAGCCCACTCACTCACCTGCTACACCCCACTGGTAGTCACAACAGCACACTCACTCACCTGCTACATCCCACTGGTAGTCACAACAACACACTCACTCACCTGCTACACCCCACTGGTAGTCACAACAACACACTCACTCAAGCAAATCACCGCACGTTGTCCATCCAGTCCACGTGTTTATTTTACAGACGTATGAGCCGGTTTCAGCAAAGTTACAAAACCCCCAGACTTGGATGTGCAGACGGACGTGGAACAGAGCCATGCTGTCAGGGCAGCGATCACCCCCACCCCGCACTCTTGGTCTCTTGTTCGAGACTCACGCGCCTCGATGTTTTGCCCAAACTCAGCTGCCTGCCCAAGCTTCGATGAAAGCGTGGCAATCTGCAGCGTACGCAAGATTTAATTTATGTTTAACCGACGATGCCGTGTGTTTTTTATTAAGCCAAGTTCATAGGGTCCGTGCCATTGTTTTTTCCCGACTGCTGAATATTACTGACAGCAGACATTACTGTGTAGCAAAATTGCGATAATTATAAATATATACCATGACTTAAAGCTTTCGTGACTGCAGGAATTAATATTCTTGGGTCTTTCGGTAAAGTCACGTCTGAAAACGACCACTTGTGTTGCGATCGAAACGTCGTAGTTTTTTGTTATTTTTTTTGAACCTATCTACGTGCCTTTACCAAAAGACCCAAGAATAAATATTTATCATTTTCAGAATATGTAGGAAAAATGTACACAGGCAAGATTTTGTTTTACTGAACCACAGCCATGAGTTTTTGTTACAATTGGTCATTAGAAAAATGAAACATCGAATTCTCGGCTCATCATTAAATATTCAGATATCATTTCAGAACCTGTTTCCAAGTTCAACGCTTTTCAACGGGGTTTCGTTTTTGTTTTCATGACAAGGCACTGCAAAGAGCGGTCTGTGATTACACCAGTCAGTCTTTCCTACTCTCGCTCTCCACCTGCTCTGAAAGAACGACCATCTCCCCCCAAAACAACACATCTGAAAAAATGAACTAGATTTATGAGGTGACCTTCAACAATGGATCTCATAGGGCCATGCTTATAACGGAGGAGAATCGGTGAGAAGTAACCGGGGAGAGAAAGACTTCAAGAGACGAGATAGAGAACGAAACAGAGAAGAGGACTTGTTAAACAGGTGGTCAGGTCTTATGCCGGTGCTGAAAAGTCTCCGTTTGACTGCAAGTTCCGAAACTGTGAGGCAAGGGGATTTACATACAGTCATAAAGTCGAGTTCATTATAAATGGTGATGAGCCGTGGCCGAGTTCTTCGCTCGCTGCGCTGTGAGCTCAATGGGCCGAGTTCCATTCCCAGCCATGGTGCTTTGAGATTTACTACATGAGAGGAATGGTATAAATAATTACAATAATACATAATAAATGCTGATGATGAGAACAATAGTAGCGAGTGATATCTGAACCGATGCTTTCCCCACTCGTACCCCACTTCACCAACCTGCACTGACCAGCATGGTGAAGTATGGTCAAGCAGCGTCTGTGACCAGCGGGGTGTCGGGAGAGCTTCATCCAGCAGCGGATTGACAAAGGACTGTCATTTTGTTTAGTTATTTCCCGAGTTGGCTAACCAGTTACTTTATTTTAATGAGACGAATGATGTGGAGAATGTTTATATTTGGTCAATTGCACTACTGCAAATGTAGCCACTTTTTTGTCATGAAATGTGTTAAATAATTAAATTTGAATAACTATAAGGTTTAGCCCTCTGGCAATCCACTGCTGGATGAAGCCCTCCACACCACGTGTAGACCTGGGCGGTTGGGGTTGTTTGACCATACTTCACCAAGCTGATCAGTACAGATTTGGTGAAACTGGAGGGGGGGGGGGAGAGACTCAGATATCACTCGGCTCAGCACTGATGTTAATCATTGAGCGGGAATCGAATTAAGGTTCAGAATCAGAGTATGTATTTATACTGGAGGAAGAATCCGATGTGCTATGAAGCTCTTTTTCACAGATGTCCAGTAGGGGCGGGTAAGAGCGTTACAACATCAATCAGTTAGCCTCGGTTCGCCGAGGCTCATGGCGTGGCGTGCTCACCGTTGCAGCCCCTCGCTCCAACCCAAAACCTGTTATCGACAAAAAACGTGTCCAGAAGTGCCTAAATCTTCAATGTGTTTCCGTCCGATCTCCCTCGGTGTGTTCAATGCGCCGTGGCCGTGCGCAGCATCCCCAAGTCCGACCGGACGTCCATCCACAAGAACCTCTTCCTCGCGCTGACGGCAGCGCAGATCGTGCTGCTGTGCAGTGGCTCCACCACCACCAACAGGGTAGGTCTCCTCTGTGTTGCTGTGCAGTGGCTCCACCACCACCAACCGGGTAGGTCTCCTCCGTGCTGCTGTGCAGTGGCTCCACCACCACCAAAAGGGTAGGTCTCCTCCGTGCTGCTGTGCAGTGGCTCCACCACCACCAACGGGGTAGGTCCCCTCTGTGTTGCTGTGCAGTGGCTCCACCACCACCAACGGGGTAGGTCTCCTCCGTGCTTCGAGCCGAGTGGCGAGAGTTGAATTTCTGGCCAAGGCTGTCATCAGTAATAATTATAATAATGATCTTGACTCGAAGCTTTCGTGACTGCAGGAATTCATATTCTTTGGGTCTTTCTGTAAAGCCACGTGACTTTACCGAAAGACCCAGAGAATATGATAATGATGTACACTTCTTAAGCGCCTTTCACCCGGAGATCACAAGGCGCTGGACAAAACGCACAAAAGGCAAAGATCCCCCGTATAGCCTCGACAGGCTGTTGGGGCAAGTGCTGTCAGTGAGCAATTATGAAGGCCAGAACAGCAAAACGAGGGGGTGGTTGGCCAATGCCGCGCCCGTACACTTTTGTCTCCCAAGCGGTGATGTTTTAACACACCGCACCAACTACTCATATGAGGCTGAGTCGACCTAGGGGAGACTAAGGACTGGTTCAGATAATCCTTACTGGTGTTGGCCGTGAGCAGGAATCGAACTCGGGTAGCGGGGTTCGTAGCGCAGCGTAGCGCTAACCGCTCCGCATACACACGTGTGCAGGCTCACGCCAATGACATCCAACCCCAAAATAAAGTAGCAAGTGATATCTGAACCGGCCCTGATTCAACCCCCTTCCCCCCTCTTCCTCTTCCCCTCCCCCAATCTCATGAAGTCACACTGACCAGCGTGGTGAAGTATGGTCAAACATCCTCCACGGCCAACATGGTGTTGTGGGGGGGGGGGGGTTCATCCAACAGTGGATTCACAAAGGGCGTTGTAAAACTAATTCACCTGCACCACTACCACATTCTCCACCTAGAAGACCGGTTGGTTATGCGACTACAGTCCCGTTAGCGTGGGGGGGGGGGCCTAGAGGGGGGATGAGCCCCCCCCCTACCCCCCTCCAACCACCCCGTTCCAAATTGTCAAAGTCAATAAAAAAAATGTTGGTGCGAAATCTACGAACACCAGCGGCGTTTTTTTTTGTTGCTTTAGCCCATTGCTCACACAGACACACGCACACACACACGGGGTGAGAGAGCTGGAGACGAATGCACCGTAGACAAAGGCAGATCGTATCGTTACTCATTCTGTTTAGCTTTCAAATTAGTTTAACTGTTTGTTTAACATTGACTGTGCCCCCCCAACCCCCGTCTTTAAACAGGGTCACGGCTATGCAGCTGGGGGGAGGGGAGGGGGGCGAGCAATCCGCTGTAGCCTACCCCACTAAAGATCCCCTGCGGGCGAAGGGGGATAGATGGACATTGATTTCCCAGCCTCACTCTAAAGCCCTCACAGCCCGAGTCTCAAGATTAGTTTTTTTGTTGAGGATGGGTCTCGTCCTCCGTCTGGGAAGTTCGTCCACCAGTCCCATTGGCGACGGGCGTTTGGAGGAGAGAACCCCCCAGAGAGACCCCGCATGGGCGCGCTGCCCTGCACGAGGGGAGACACTCGACGCTGTCGTCTCCGTAGCTCACAGCTCGCAGCCCCGCGACCACAACGCCTGGCAAGCCCTCGTATTCGTAGTCGTGGTGGTGGTGGTCACCAATACAATTACGAACCAGGCTCAGCTTCTGCTGAGCACCTTGGAGATCCAATATAGATCGGGCAAATTTAGGGTGATCTGGTCATAGGCTTGAGGCATGAAATGTATGCATTAGTAAAACAAGGACCTTCTTCTTTGACAATTAAAATCCACGTGAATTATTACCTTCTTCGTTCAGGACAGACAGCGCACGCAGTGGCAGGATGCTGCAGCTGAGGCGATTGAGTGGGGGCGGGGGGCTGCAGGCAGGGAATTTGGACCTGGGTCGCCTTTGCGTGTTAATCAAATCGTGCGTACTATCAACCCTCGGCTACAGCGCCTCACACAGAGTAGACGCTGCATTCTGTCGACTTGACAGCTTCATTGTCAGATGCATCGTTACCCCCCTCAATTGTCAAATGGTGGTATCGCCCGCAGCGAGTAGTCCTGCCATCCTCCCTCCACTCCCCGCCCGGCTCAGAGCTTCCTTCCGTCTCGTCACGGGGGACGGACGGGCAGCAGCTGTGGGGAAATGCGACCTTCCCGAAGGTCACCAATTACCTGCGACATTTAAAGAGCATCGGGCAAACGTTGTTGCCGGGGCGGGAACGGTGCAATCATGGCGGGCTTACCGACGCGGGATAACAAGGACAAATGTGCAGCTTGAAAAGTCCCAGGGACGTGTAACGCTGGGAGCCTTAATGTTTTATTATTATTAATTGTAGTACTGTGGCTCTCTGCTTTAATCCAGACAGGGGGCTGGGGGGGGGTCCCAGGTGAGAGAAATTGACTTGTAAACTAATGATTCAGAAATCACTCATCACCACTGATGTTCGTCGTGACAGAGGATTTGAACTCGCATTGGCTGGGGTTCGTAGCAATGTGCTACAAAGTAAGTGTAATTTCCTAATTGCTAATGCCTCAAAAGTACAGAAAATGGCTATTATTCCCCACAAACTTTGCTTTTGTGACCAGGACAGTGATATTTTGAAATTTACCTATTTTACAGAACCTTCAAGATAGATTCAGTGCTGCGTAAACTTGGAGTAACTTTTAGAACATTCTAGAACTTTCCAGTAATATAAATAGTAGTATAAGCCCACCAGTTCAGTTTAGTTCCAGCTGCCTAAGTGGATACATATCTGCATTTTTCTGAGATGGTATCAAGAGGCTGCAAGCGTCCGACAGATGCATTTTGCTATGTCTGCGGCCAATTTATCAAGTCAAGAGCGAAAAAGTACTCTGTAGAAGCATCTGCTAAGATGTGTGAGGCCTACAAGGCATATTTCGGCATGCCTGTCAGGGATCAAGACAAACCCTGGGCACCTCATTTCACCTGCGAGCAATGCAAAAAAAACTATGGAAGGTTTGATGGACCATTGTTGCTCGGAATTTTATGTTATAAAATTTGTAAAAAAAGAAATTGTAAAAGTTTGTATTTTTAAAATGTTTTACAATTTTCAATGTTATTGAAAAAATATATCATTTATGAAAAATTTTGCGAGAATATCTTACACATTAGTCATGGGTGAAATACATTTTAGATTTGAAGCTTTCGTGACTGCAATGATTCGTACTAATATGGGTTTTCCCCTTTTTTCTGGCAACAAAACTGAAACTATTTTTACAAGGATTCATGTCTGCATTAACCACAATACTTGCAGTCAAAATGCAAATAAAAAAACACACTGATAATAAATGCATTGTCCTTGAATCTGATTGGTCCACACCAGAGTCGGCTTTCTTTTGAGCCTTGTCTCAATAGGTGCTAGACCAGATGACGCCAAAAGGCGTACAGCTCAAAGACAATGCACTATCAAAGTAATGAGGGCTCGGGGTAAGCGTCTACATCATTGGACCTCCTTTGCCAGTACCAAAATATAATAATAGTATTGTGGTTAATGCAGACTTGAATCCTTGTAAAAAAAGATTTCAGTTTTGTTGCCAGAAAAAAGGGGAAAACCCCTATTATTATATTTTGGTACTGGCAAAGGAGGTCCAATTATGATTCATACTCTTTGGTTTTTTCGGTAAAGTTACGCAGGTAAAAATCAAATAAATGAAAACAACTAAATTAAATCACGACGTTTCAGAGGCAACACAAGCTTCCGTCTTCAGGTGGAACAATCACAGCAAACCACTTTGTAAGAAGTCCAAAAGTACAGTTTGTCTTATGAAATGACTCGCCCCCAGTCATATAAATATAGTTTTTTTTGCCACTGAGCTGTAAAACAGAAATGAGAATCCTTCCACTCAGACCCACCCCCAATCTGAGTGGTAAAAATGGTTTCACGAGATTGTGCACGTGAGCGTGTAAGTACGGGGAGCGGTAATGCAGTGGTTAGTGTACTGCACTACGAACCCGGCGACCCGAGTCCGATTCCCTCTCCCGGTCACCATCGGTCACAAACACCTGAACCATTCCTGGGCCTCTCCCGTATTCACTCAGCCTTAAAAGAGTACCTGGTTCGGTGAGTAAACATGCCCATTGGGGAGACAAAGGCGGCCCCGGTGTGGTGCTGGCCACCCACCCATACACCTTGCCATTCTGACCCTTAATAGATTCTTGGTAACGACACTTGCCCTAACAGTCTGTGAAAGGCTACACAGGGGGATATGTGTATTGTGTGTGTGCCGCTTATGACCACCAACACCAGTGAGGATCTGGACCTCCTCTAGGTCGACTCAGCCTCAAACATCGCCACTCAGGACACCAATTCGTCCGGGCGTGGTGTTGACCACCCACCCCCGTACTGGCCTTCGTAGCTGCTACTCGCTAACAGCACTTGCCCCAACAGTATAAACTAAACTAAAAACTTAACTTTTTTTTTTACCAGGTCAGGCCCAGTGAGCTATATAGCTTTTTTTCATAAGAGACCTGGCCACAAATGATAGCTCAACGTAGTGGCTTATCACGTGGACATTTATAGCAGTCAAATACTCTAAATGCACGTTTCTGAACGTGGAGGGAGAAACCGGAGGAAAAATCCATGCGACCACGGGGAGAACACGCAAACTCCAAATATAAAGCAGGCGTCAGGGTCGGGATCGAACTCACGACCTCCTGTATAGTGGGCGAGGTAGTTAACATCTCGCCACCGCGGCTACACGGGTGACCTGTGCCTCTGCCTTCCCTTCTGACTGTAGGTGGCGTGCACAGCTGTCACGGCTCTGCTCCATCTCTTCTTCATGGCCGCGTTCATGTGGATGCTGGTGGAGGGCCTCCTCCTGTGGAGCAAAGTGGTCACGGTGAACCTGAGCGAGGAGAGCCGCATGAAACACTACTACCTCATCGGCTGGGGTGAGCCTGGGCCAAACACTACCACGACTCCACCCACCCACCGCATCAGTCGACGGCATCGACAAACGTCGCCTCGTTATTTCTTTAACTCTTAAAAAACTATAAACTATTTTTTTTTGACCAGGTAAGGCCCACTGAGCTGTATAGCTCTTTTAAAGAAGCGACTTGGCCACAATTGATAGCTCACCGACGTGGCTCATCGTGTGGAAATGTACAGCAACTGAATACTCTTCAACGCACATTGATGCTAAATGTGGCTGGGAAAACCGGCGGATGCGGATACAAATCCACGCGACCACGGGGGAGAGGGGGAGAGAGAGCACGCAAATTTAAAACGTACAGGTGTCAGGGTCGGGATTGGGATCGAACCCACGACCCCCCTGCATACCAAGCGAGGCCGTTAACATTCCCCCACCACGGTGCTCGATTGTTTGGGTTAGGCCCTGGAAATCGAGGAATTCAGAATTCTGCTTCACTTTTTTTTTATCTGACCGCTTGGTTCTTGTCCTGACGATACTTTAAAGCAAAACGTCGTTATCTTATTGCTCCACTTGGTTGTGAAAATCGTTCTTAAACTTATCGGTTGAGTGAGCGGAAACGATAATTGACCACGTGACAATTTAATTTGCGATGGCGAGCGCACTGTGTGCTATGAACGTGTTAGCTTGAGTTGCATTCACGGCCACAGCTCACATCAGGTGCAAGTGATATCCGAATCGGCCCTTGGGTGATCCACTCTTCACCAAAGCCGGACTGACCAGCGTGGTGAAGTATGGTCAAACAATCCCCAAAACCCAATACATTGTGGGTAGCCACTCGTGTACTCACACCACGCGTGTTAATATCGGTGACTGGCTTAATAATGTTAGCAGAATCAGTATGTGCAGTTCTTGTTGAAAACATTCCAGCGGGTTATTTGATTTAAAAAAAATCAATCATACGTCACAAGAACAAAAATATATAATCCACAAATGTTTTAAAAGGAAACCATGAAGAGTGCAAAAGGCATCGAGACAGCCTATACCGGGACATTCTAAAGTTCTCGTGAGTGCCCGTCAGCTGGAACGCACGCGGTTATGTTTTTCATTCTCAGCATATATTGATTTTTGTGTGTGTGTGTGTGCGCGCTATTAATAACACACTCCCACACTCACGGGCAGAGTAATTGGAAACACGCCCCAGCGCATTCCGTCTGTCCCGACAAGAGGACGGAGGGGATTGACTCGGCAAAGCGCAGCGATTGAACGGCACCGGGGTGGGGGTGGGTGGTGGTGGGTGGTGGTGGGGGGGACATTAAGTGTCAAAACCCCGAGCCCCTTTCGGATAACCCCAATCTTAGCGGCGCACTCACGCCCTCCCCTCGTCGCACTCGGCGCAGGTCAAGTGCTCTGCATATAGATGAGGTGATTGCTAAAGGTCAAGGATCCACCAACTGTAGACTCCCTTCATAGACTTCCAAATAAAATTTTACAGCAAAAAAAAAGAACCGCCCGCTATCGAGTTTGTTTGCTCGGGGTGCACGGGACGCGGCCCGAATGTGAGGAAGGAGGGGAAGGAGGGGAAGGACGTCGTTTTGACGAGGCGGTCGACCGCAGCACGTGGATCCACTGCCGCGTGGACTACTGGCGGATTACTCATTGGTTCTTTCGGTAAAGTCACGTAGAAAGAAAAATTATCAAAAAATAGCATACGACGTTTCGATTGCAACACAAGCAATCATCATCAGGTACGTATGAAAGAGAAAATAAACCTAGTAAACTTAGAAATATAATGCAATACAACACAGAGAGTCGGCTAACATAACAGTCAACACCCCACCTGGTTGATTACGTTCTTACAAAAAGAAAGCTACATTTGAGAGAGAGAGACAAAACACAGACACGGAGACACATAGACAGACACATAAGCAGAGAGATAACACAGAGAAAGACATACACATAGACACACAGAGAACAACGCCTCTGTGTCAAGGCCTTAAATAGAGAGATAGGGGGGCAGAGAGAGAGGGGGGGGGGTGATAGAGACATTAGCATGTCAATGACAGATCTGGAGCTTTCGTGACTGCAGGAAATCCTACAACACGAGGACAATTAACGCAGAGCCTGGTTGATTACGTTCTTCCAAAGATTGCTAAATTAGAAGTTAAGTGTGACATTTTTGAGAGAGAGACAAGACACAGACAAGAAGACACAAAGACACAAAGACCGACACACAAGCGGATTGTTTGACCATACTTCACCACGTTCGTCGGTGTCGGTTTGGTGAAAGGTGGGGGGGCGGGGGGGGCGGGGGGGGGGGCACCACCCCCACCCAGGAACGGTTTGTGTATCATACCCCATTAGCACGGTTGGTTACGTGCGGTGCGAAAGAAGTTCGACACACATGATACCTGAGGGTCGCTCACCTGTACTGGTTTCTCCCAGAATCCTCCGCTCTTTGAGGTAGCCACTTGCCTGGGCTATCTGTCAGTTTTCCCGGGACATTAAAAACAGAAATCCCAGTGATTGTCAGCCGCGTGATAACACACCGCTCAAGACGAGGTACTCACACACTTCATTATCCTTTCCATGATATTCGCCCGGTGTGTTTGTCACGCCACGGACGTGAGCCGTCGGGTACGAATCTCGGGTCACCGTGGTTCGTACCGCGGCGCTGCCGGTCACCGCATCACCGCTCCGACCCAGAGTAATACAACTGAGCCTTTTTTTTGTATAATTAACCCATTTACATGAACGTTTGATATAAAAAAAAAACAAATCCCCAACCTCCCACTGTTGTTGTAGCCGTCGTTTCGCCATCCCCGCTCCGCCGTGATTCTTTCCAACGCCTTCCCCCTGCTGGCGGAGATTATTATTTACGCGCAGCTGTCAACAACAACAAAAACACACCACCCCAAGAAGAACCAAAAATCCCACCGACCTCTCCTTTCCTTTCCTCACAACCACGCGTCATTGGGGATTAACCGGGACCCCCCCCCCCCACCCCTCGTGCTGGATCATGGGTCGCACACGCGTGTCGGTGTCACAGCGTGCACGTGTTCGTAGCGCCGGTGGAGACTTTCGGTTTTTTTCCTCCTTGTTTTGGAAAATCCCCCCCCCTCCCCCCCTCTTCGCCCCCAGTCCCTCTCCGTCTCGCCGTGACGTCGGCTGCTGTTGATTGCTCGCGCAGTGCACGGCCGCTGCGCTTTGCTGCCAGATGCTGTAGCTCAGAGACACCCACGTAGTCGTATATACATACTTTACGGTATATGCCACGGTGGCGAGATGTTAACTACCTCGCCTGGTACACAGGAGGTCGTGGGTTCGATCCCGACCCTGACACCTGCTGTATATTTTGGGGCTTGCGTGTACTCCACGTGGTCGCGTGGATTTTTCTCCAGTTCCTTTCACACTTAGAAACATCCGTATAAAGTATTTGGCTTCTATGCATTTCCACATGATAAGCAAGTGCATTGAACTTTCATTTGTGGTCAGGTCGCTTCTGAGAAATCACTATATAACACAGTGGGCCTTACCTGGTAAAATATAAAAAAAATAGTTTATTTTTTTTATATGGATAGGGATCACCCAGAATTTTTTTTAGATATGGCTAACATTTTGTGCAGGTTTCAAGGTATGTTTTCCTGCCTTCAACGAGGTGACGCAAATGCTGATTGTGGCTGCTGACCGACCCTGGTAGATACATCCGGTGGTGCACAGACTGTAGACTCGCTACCGAGTCAGTAGTATTCCAGCAATAGTAGTGCAGTGGGGACTGCTCTTATCCGTGATGAATTGGGGGGTCAACGTCGCAGCTCTTGTCTGTAATCTATCCAATTACCACCGGGAACCACTCACTAGTAGCACCTGCCTTACTGGACATCTGTGATAAAGAGCGTCATATCTCATCGGATTCCTCCAGTCTAATTAAAGATTCTCATAACTTCCAGAGCATGGGCTACACCACTGATTCTTGATAGTTTTTTGAAATATATATACTCAAGTAGTCGGACAAATTTGGCCATTCGCGTTAGGACCCCATCCCCTGCTTGATTGATTGACGGGCACAGGGAACATCTCGGTTGCTTGTCCGTCCTCCCTTTCACACGCAACGTCTCCGGAGTGATGGTCACGGTGACACCTGGAAGAACGCATCGCCCAGGGCCCGATGATGAATGCTCAAACCCTTCAGGAATGGCACATAGCAACGCGGCAGCCTGAAGTATGCGAAACACGCCGATTGAAAATGTTCTTTATAAAAAAAAGGAAATAAAAGTAGCACACGTGCACACACTACCGCCCGCAAATTCACGTCGCCGTACATTTCCCATCCTTTGTACGATATGTAACGGGATCGTCAGTGAGGGCTCGTGAGCTAACGGTATCATTATTTTGTTCTCAACGTGCTGTGAGCTTTCAAAAGTGATGCATAGTGGGGTTATTGTGGTCCCTGTTCATAACAACCACTGGTGACCTTGCTATATACTGGACATGAGGTTCACTGGATATAGAACCCTTTTTACGTAGCGGAAAATAAACTGGCTGGAGCCGAACATACTCTTTGGTTCTATTGGGTAAAGTCACTTAGCTATTTCAATGAGCCATTTCAATGCTAAATTATATGCTAATTCCTTTGTCAAGGGGTACCTCTGAGGATGTGTATACTTTAACTTAGCTATTTCAATGAGCCATTTCAATGCTAAATTATATGCTAATTCCTTTGTCAAGGGGTACCTCTGAGGATGTGTATACTTTAACTTAGCTATTTCAATGAGCCATTTCAATGCTAAATTATATGCTAATTCCTTTGTCAAGGCGCGTGGTCTTTTTCTTCTCACACAACTTAAAGGTCGTGATCTAAGCGTGGCTTCTTCCACTCCAGCGCTGTCCTCCAGACAGTCTCGTCCCTTCACCTGATGAAGGCCGCTTGTGTTGTGGCCGAAAGGTCGTGATTTTTTGTTATTTTATTTTCACCTACGTGACTTTACCCAATAGAACCAAAGAGTATGGATCCTAGCAGTCACGAAAGCTTTAAATCTAGAATGGAGCCGAACAGTTTTGGCCATCCTATTAAAGTTGTTTATCTAAAATAAATGCGATTTTAAAAACACAAATTAGTTTGCGTGATGCCAGATAATTGTCTGTCCTGTTTTAGAAGAGCAAAAAAATGTAATCCAAAACTTTCCCGATAAATAAACTGCCCCCTTTAAAACTTACGATACGTTTGATGCGACATTTAGAACGGTAAATTGTTTTTAACTCGCCGTTTATTGGTAATGTACTCCAAACAGTGCCAACAAACGTGCATTTACTTTCATGCGGAAAGGGCTCAAGACCTAATTCACACATCAGCAGGAAACACTTTCCCATCAATTTTCAACAGCTAAATGGGATCTGCATTAAAGTGTCACGTTTCGTCCATTTTGCCAAACACGTAAATTAGTCGCTGAGCTTTTCACAAGATCCGTGTTTAATCCGCTCCTATCCAGCCCCCCAACCCTGCTCCTCAAATTTTAGTTTCCCTCGAAATTATCGAGAGAGAGAAAAAAATGAACGCGATTAAAAAATCTTTTGCTTTCAAAAAAATTCGTCGACGATGACTATGAAGAGAACACGTCCCCGCCATAGGAACGCGGAATTTCTGCCAACATCTCACGGCCGTAAACGGGTGATGAGCACCAACCTCAGCTATTTTTTTAATAGGAAAATCACTGCGACTCGACTCTCTGAATCTGTGATATGCAATGAGCACGCGATCCAGTCGTGCCATTTCGACAGCAATTCGGTCACGCAACCGATCTCAACTCCGGTACGGAAGCCCGGCTTAAGACTACGGATGCAATAAAGCATCTTACGGGCCATCGTCCTTTCTCAAATACGTCAGTGATCATTGCCTTCCATTGATCTCTGTCCGTGATGTTACCCAAGAACTTTGCATGAGATACTGCCCGTTGCATCCAATTGTTCAAATTTCTTGTTTACTTAATTAGCTGTCTTCTCCCTTGTACCTCGCATTTTCCTACTCAAAGCACATTCATATTCAGTCTCTTGTGTACCCATTACATGTCCAATAGATCTAACTTGCCTTTCTCTAAGTATGATTATTTTATACTCTTTGGTTCGTTCGGTAAAGTCACGTAGGTATAAAATAAAATAAATCACGACGTTTTGGGCGCAACACAAGCGTCCGTCATCAGCTTTCCCACCTGATGACGGACGCTTGAGTTGTGCCCGAAACGTGATTTATTTTTTTATTTTATTCTAAGCCCACGTGACTTTACCGAAAGAACCAAAGAGTATGGATCCCTGCAGTCACGAAAGCTTCAAATCAAGATGTGATTATTTTTTCTTTTTTACCCGATCCGTAATGCATTCATGTGACTCATCTGGTCCCGTCCATTAGTCATTGTTAACAACCTTCATGAACAAAAATTATGTTGCTTCTAGTTTGCTTTGTAGGTAGGGTATGTATAATTCACCAGCTTTCACATCCCTATAGGTGAACAGATACCGTTCCAGAAATGAACAATGATGATTCGTTCAATAATGCGTCTGAAAAATAAGCTTAGAGCGCAGTGGGATTTACCTCTGAAGACTTTTTTTTAAAAAAGTTGTTTCGAGTGATGTGCTTACCTTTCCTATTCTCTGCGCTCCTATCGCGTTTTTGCATCGTTTGTTGTTGTAACATTCATCGCATTTCCTCCTCCAGCAGTACAAATCAAGATTCCGATTCTGATTTTGATTGCGCCACCAACCCCTTCCCCCGCCCTCCCGGCCTCACCACTTGAGGAATCCCGGTGCTGATCGTGGGGATCACGCTGGCGGCCGCACATGAGGACTACACGGCCGCGCGTCACTGCTGGCTCAACGTGCACAGCGGGGTCATCTGGGCCTTCGTGGGGCCCGTGCTCTTCATCATCGCGGTGAGCCCGAGGTGGCCTTGGTTGGGGATGGGGGGGGGGGGGGGGTGCACCTCGCCTGGGCCACTTCGCTAGGAGCTTGGGACCGCTGAGAGAACCTGGGTTCGAATCCAGGTTTTGGTTGCCCACGTGGTTAGACCCGATGACTAGAAGTGCGTTTAGATGATTTTTTTTGGCTACTATAAATGTCCGCGTGATAAACTACTTCGTGGAGCTATTATTTGTGGCCAAGTCACTTCTGAAATTTAAGCTGTAGCTCAGTGGGCTTTACCTGATAAAATTAAAAGAATAGTTTAGTTTACTTTTTTGTTGCTATTTGCTTCCCTTTCCTTCACTTTGCACTCGTATTGTGTTATTGTATTGTTTGTTGTACACTTTTGACATGCCCCTACTGGACATCTGTGAAAAAGAGCTTCACAGCTCATCGGATTCCTCCAGTATAAACTCTGATGCTGATTCTGCTCTCGCGTGAAGTCTCACTGCCGTGGTTTGGCAAACGCTGAGTGCAAATAAATTCAAGGACCCAGACGTCGCACCCTAATGGCTTTGACATTCCTCCTCGAAGACACCGGTGGTGTAACCATCAACCGCATTAGAACGTCAACAGGCCGATGCGCACATCTCCTTTATGAATGTAAAATTTAAGACGAACCGTGGCAATGCAACCCAAACTGTGGACCCTCTAGTAATCCACTGTAGGCTACGCCCCGTCAACTAAGGATTAGCTAAATTATACGAACTCTCTCCTGATGCTCTACATTGGCATTTAGCTCCTGAATAGATTGCCATCATACGCAAAAAGAGAGTAGTGCAAATAAAAACTTTAACATTTCCTTTTTTGTGCAGCACGGCTAAGATCCTAGGTGCAAAAAATGGTGCAGATACCCCATGATTAAACTGCGTTCTTGCGTGGAGAAAGTTGATTTTCTCAGCCCAGTCACCAATGATTGCCCACAAAAGCCATCACTTTAAATTTGGTCCTGCACTTGATTTGGTGAGATTCCAGTTCTGCGAATTAAAATATCAGTTTGATTGCCATGTGAGAGAAAAAAAATACTCTGCGTGAAAGGGCACGTTCAAAAGTGCTGGCACATCTTCTGCGTGGGCCAGAGGTTCTCGCAGATAGCTCTGTGATATCTACTTCCGTGGGCCGTTCCTTTAAGGCGAAGGGTCGCGCGGCTTCGTGAGCGACTTGAAATTTATTCCGCGTGATTTATGACGCGAGGCCGGGACGCTGGCCCCGCTACTGCCCCGACTGCTACCCGTGTCCACTCGCCTCCCGCCGCAGGTCAACGTGCTCGTGCTGGGCCGGGTGCTGGCTATCACCATGGCAACGGCCAAGCGGCGCTCCATCATGCTGGCCGTGAGCAGCGGTCCGACCGAGCAGGCCTACGATCAAATAAGGTGAAGCCTCGCCATGTGCGGGCACGGCCAGGGCCACGGACACTGACCGGCGAGTACGTTAAAGGGTTCTTTTGTCATTGGCTGGCAGCTGCCACGACTACGGACGGGCTTTCCAGATTAGAGGGTTTGTGGGGGGGGGGGGTTGTACCTTCAGATTTAGAGGGCTTTCTGCGTGGGTTTGTTATGTTCGTTCAAATTTTACAGTTCATAAACGAGCGGGAGGTTGTTTTATCATAAATATTTTCTGCTGGCGAATTGCGAAAGTTTGTTTTTTATCCTTCCAATTGGATGTATATTTTTTGTTAAACTGCCTTGATTTTTTATATGCTTTCTTTATAAAAAATATATAGAGCAGATTTTTGTTTAAAAAAAAATTAAGTACACAAACCTCTTTACAGACTACATTGCCTGTGTGTAATCCTTTTGTGCATCAAGCCGACTGTGGTGGACTGCTATGATTTATTTGACCGCAATTGAGTCACGTAAAACATTTGAAAATACATTTGCATGATTTCCTCTGACGTCTAAAAATCACATTTAACCAAAGATATAGCGTAGTTGTTTTTTGCTTTTGACAATTAATGCACGAATGGGTTAATTTCGATGTCCTTTATTTAGATCAGGTCAAAGTCTATTGAGATACGTGCCCCTTAGGACGCGAAGCATTTATTTAAATGCTACATTTTATGTTCTGTTGATTTAACCGTATAACAAAATATACGGCATGGGAAACTAATTTCTTGTTATATTACTTAAGCAATTAAACGTTTGCAATCCCGATGATGTCTCTTGGATTTTAAATAATTTATTCCATAGGTCTAGAGGCAATTTTCTTCCCCTAGATCTGATGGCTGGCCACCGCCCCAAGTACAGTGCACAGTGGTCTCTTGTGTGCCATTGGCCCTTAAAACGGCTCATCAGTACCACCTAGGGTGGTACATGCTCACTGTCATTACCTCAGAGCATTTTGTCTCTTGATCACAAATATATACTATAGCAAGGTCACGGTGGTAGCTTTTTGTGAGAAAATAAAATGTAATAGAAATGGTATCGGGGTGCGTTTGAAAGATAATGTAAATAAATTATACACTTAAAAAAAGCACACACTGATGCGATATGAAACGTGCACAGAATATGAAAATGAAGAGGAAGTGCGTCTATAAAACAGAGAGGATATACGCTAAGATTTATGCCCATGGTGGTGGATGCTCGCAGCATTTTCCACCCCTGGGTTGCACCGGCCAAAATCCGCCTTGGCTCATGGCCCATGGAGGACACAGCTTGCAATAAGACAGCTCAGGCCAGCGGGAGGGGGCAGCACTGGGCAACAGGAGGGGGAGCATGAGGAGAGACACTGGGGAAATAGAGAGAGGCCGGGGGAGGTGGGGTGGGGGGGGCAGTTAAAGTCAGTGGCAGGGTAGGAGCATGGGGGAAATTGGGCAGGGGACAGAGGGCAGGGAGGGCAGCCCTCCCCGTGTGCAAATATTTTGTTGAACATGAGAGGCAATCCGTGTTCCGTAACCCTCTGGAACCCTACTGGGTGATTTTACAAGAGTCGCCTTGGTTTCTCAACCGCTCCCGCACTTTAAAAAATCAATTTACCACAAACACGAGCAGCACCCCAACGGTCACTGCTTCCAGTGTTATCACCCAATCCCCACCACTATCATGAACACCACCAGCATTAACACACCACAATAACATTACCGCCACCCATAACGCCGCCACAATTACCGAAATAATACCAACACCAGCTTTTTCCGCATGCATCACTTCCACTATCGCTTCTATAATGACCACCATATACTATAACCCGTCACCTATAACAGGTCCCTGCAGGGTGGGCTGGTAGGAACATTGGAATTTTTCACTTCGTTCAAGTATTGAAAGGGGACGGACGGACACATTAATCTATTGCAGGCTGGTACACTCAGTTTACAACTTCGTTCCTACCAGTAAAAGTGACTATATATCCAAGTGTTCAAATTGTGCGAGCGTACAACATGAGCATTGGCAAAGGGTCAGAGAGAGTGTCTATGAGCATTCTCACCACAGGGTGGCAGTGAAACACCATGCCATCTCAGTATAGCAGGGTAACCCAATCTTAACATGGGCAGAAATTATCAAGAAACATCATGCACTGAATAAAGCAACAGCGTACAGCTTGTATGTTGGGATACAACTAAGACAGTTTTTTTCCGGATTGTAAGACGCTTTGGAAAGTAAGACGCACCAAATGCAGACTCTCACACACATCATTTACCTCCCAAACTTTAACATACGCTTTAAAACTTACGCTTTGAAATGCAGGGAGGGGAAAGTGGTTCCTGTAATCCAGAGAATGCGGTTATAATTTATTGCCTTCATCAATCCACTGCTGGATGTAGGCCGGGCTCATACTGTGTTGGGGAGTGGGGTGAGCGGTGAGACTGGAGGGGGACCCAGGACCAGTTCAGATATCACTCACCACAGATATAACTCACCACAGATATAACTCACCACAGATATCACTCACCACTGATGTTGTTAGCCGTGGCAGAGAATCGAACGTGGGCCGCTGGGTTCATATCGCAGTGGGCTAACCGCCGCATTATTGCTTTTACCCCACATCTTCATTTATTGGCAGTTCAAACAAAACACTATATTTTGTAATAATTATTTTACGGCGCTTTAGATAACACATTAAGGAAACTGATTTTACGCTTTCAGCCACAAATAGTGCATTTCTTTTCAGCAAGGGGTCATGGACCTATACATTGCCGAGTACCGAACAGGGATTTTCCAATACGTGTGCCAGGCCGCGTGCTGCTATAACGCGCACACACCTTAGCATTGAGCCATGACTGAGAATCCCTGTCACGTGACGGATGACGAGGGCTGTCACGTGCGCGCAGGGCGGCCATCAAGGCGGTGATCGTCCTGCTGCCCATACTGGGACTCACGTGGCTCTGCGGAGTGCTCGTGCACCTGGCGCCCGCACTCGCCTACCTGTTCATCGCTCTCAACTCGCTGCAGGTAGGTGCTCGCGGGCTCACTCGCGCTTGCTCGCCGCTGCCCCCCCCTCCTCTCTCTCTCGGGATGTTAAACCCTCGCCTGGTAAGCACGTGGCCGTGGGTTCCATCCCGACACTGACACCTGATGTATATTTAGAGTTTGCGCGTTCTCTCTCCCCGTGGTTCGAACAAGAGCAGCGTAGCTCAGAAGCGACCTGGCCACGAATGATAGCGCAACGAAGTGGCGTATCATCATGTGCAAATGTATAGCAGCCACGTACCCTAAATGCACGTCGATTCTAAATGTGGAAGGAAAAACCGGAGGGACGCGACCACGGGGAGAGAGAGAGAGAGACACACGCAAACTCCAAATATACAGCAGGCGTCAGGGTCGAACCCACGACCTTCTGTATACCAGGCGAGGTAGTTAACATCTTGCCACCTCGGCGGTCATTGCGAGATTTGTCGGCGCTGCAGGTGCCCTCCTCGAAAGCAATGGGTGTGTTACTCCCCGCTACCTGCCCACGCTGCTGGTAAATTACGTCGGCTGCAGCGTCAACAGCATTCCGAGGTGCTGTTGATTCTGTTGCCCTGTGTCGGAGAGAAACTGCCGTTGAATAGGGGACTTTTTTTTTGCATACAGATAAAAAAAATCTAAGTGGCTTTCCTGCTGCTGAAACAAAAAAAAATCAAGGATATGTTCTCATCTCTTGTTTACAGCCCTGGTGGATATTCCACATTGCTCTAGTAATAATTTAATTTTATATAGGGTCATTCATGCAATTGCATCCCACAACGCTGCACATCAATTATCCAGTTCCGTACACAGGTGATACAAAACCCCACTACATAGCAAATAAAAAATGGATACGTAAAATACACACGACAAGAAAACAAATCTTAGAGAAAACAAATTTGAATACATACATCCGTTAATTTCTCCGGATTTGGAGTACCTTCACAGGAGTGGCGGTAGAGTGTCCACAGAGCTTATGGTGGGGTGGAGTCTATAAAACAGACAATTTGGGCTTCCCAACAAATGGTAACTTTTTGTTTTGTTTTGTCCCCAATAGGCGTGAAGGGCTGCGTCACACAAAATAAAGTGCAGTTGAAACGTCTGTGAAATGTATTTAATGATAACTTCACTCGAACAGAAACACAAATGGCGAGCATAACAGCAGCGATCGCTCACTCGCACAACTCCACAGAGCCCCCTCTAAGTGGGCCATTTTGGCCTACTCTTCCACGTTGGCAATATGCCTTGGTAGAGGTCACGAGTACCCACACTTTACCCCACCACACGTGACCAGCCGATCGAGCAACTGCGCCGTACCCCTTTAAACTGCCGGGTGGACAGCAGCGAAGGCATTCGAAAGAAACAGAGCAAAACAAAAACTGCCTCGTTATTTCATCTGCTGCGCGGGGTTCGATTATTCGAATGTAAGCGGCGACCTCTGACTCGCGAGTCTGGCGCGGTCACCGTAACCCCACCGCACGCGACCTGCCCGTCGACCGCTGTGTAAACAGGACTGCGGCCGGTTAATTAGGCCACGGCGTTGAATCCCACAGCAATCCGGCAGTAATCCGGCATCACGGGCTACAGACCAGCCACGCTTGGGTTCCGGCTAGCCGGATTAGCCGCGACGGTGCCCTCCTGGCAAGGGAGCGCGCCACACAGAGACTCACGTGACCCCCACCCACGAGCCGTGACCCCTCGCGCCTCTGTGTTTGGAGCCCCTGTTGCTTGAGGTCACGTCGTGCTTTGCTGCCACACTTTGCCCGTCCCCTCGCAGCCATCATCATTATCATCATCAGCCTCAGTAATGATCAGGCCACTGCTGGATGAAGGCCGTTCCAATCCGTGCCATTTCCGGTGATCCTACCATATCTCGATTTTTGCCGAGCATCCACACACGAGCTCATTTCATCACCCCATGTTGTTCTCTTTCTTTCCCTCAGTCTAATAAGAACATAATCACGTGTTACCCCCCTCTTATGAGTGGGTTTTCTCCGGGTGCTCTTAAGTTTCCTCCGACAATGCAGCCAGACTGTCATCAATAATCTTGGACAAGCATCCCAATGCAGGACGCCTCTTGCAAAACACACTTGAGACTCGGTGGGGCTTTTCTGTATAACGAATTGGTATTGTTTCCTATTATTACTTACTGTATACTCACCCACAGATTGCCCCCCGTATGCCTTCACTCGCGTTGCTAAATTGCCGACGCGCAAGTGTTTTAATGCTTTAAATCTACTTACAAGCACCACAACCGCCACGAATCAATCTTCTTTGCAACTCATGATCACGAGGCAGCATACATTCAGTCTTCGCGACAAACGAGGCAAGATCCCATTTGAAGCTTCCCCACGTAACTTCATGCACCGCTGCCGGCATGGCGTGAGACGAGCGCCTTGATGAATATTAATGGCCAGATCCGTGAATTCCTCTCGCATCCCCGCGGCATCCCATATCCGTGATAAGGCAGCCAACGAAGGAGCTGCACGCGACGGGCGAGTGTGCGCACGAATGACATTGCGACGTTTATTTTGAATGTTTTGTTTTTAAATGACGGAGAGGGGGAAAGAAAACCTTCGTACCGCCTCGCGCGATATTTTAACATTTCAAGCGCACGACGTTGTTTTGTTTCACCAACAAGAGGTACAATGTGAACTTTTTTTATTGAATACAGAAAAATAATAATGTTGAAATAAAGTTCGCGACACTGATTTGTAACTTCGCTCGCTTGACTACAGGAGTCGGCGTGCGGTTTACGAATCTCTTATCTCTCGACACTGTTGGCAGAGAGAGCTCCCTCTGCGGGGTGTTCGACCTCCTCTTTCATGCTTGCCAAATGAAAGTGTGTAGGTATGTGCGTATGCTGAACTTCTTATGCACCGTACGTAGCCAACCACGCTAATCAGAGGTGCAGGGGAAGGGTGGGGGGGGGGGACAACAAGCTAAACATAAAAAATCAGAGAAATTCGTTTTCAATCTCAGGTTCAAAAGTACCCACACTTTACCCCACCACACGCGCACTGCCGATTGTAGAAGCGCGGCGAGCCCATTCATGAAGTTCGACGGACAGAGACGGTGGGGGAGAGTTAAGAACCGACGCCGTCGGATTGACTGCCGCGCCGCCGGGAGACGGAATCGAACCGGCGACCTCTGGATTGCAAGTCCAGCGTCAGTTTAACACGTATTATGAAGTCCAGCGTCAGTTTAACACGTATTATGAAGTCCAGCGTCAGTTTAACACGTATTATGAAGTCCAGCGTCAGTTTAACACGTTTTATGAAGTCCAGCGTCAGTTTAACACGTATTATGAAGTCCAGCGTCAGTTTAACACGTGTTATGAAGTCCAGCGTCAGTTTAACACGTATTATGAAGTCCAGCGTCAGTTTAACGCGTATTATGAAGTCCAGCGTCAGTTTAACACGTATTATGAAGTCCAGCGTCAGTTTAACACGTATTATGAAGTCCAGCGTCAGTTTAACGCGTATTATGAAGTCCGGCGTCAGTTTAACACGTATTATGAAGTCCAGCGTCAGTTTAACACGTATTATGAAGTCCAGCGTCAGTTTAACACGTATTATGAAGTCCAGCGTCAGTTTAACACGTTTTATGAAGTCAAGCGTGCCGATCCACTGCCTTTATCCCACGGCAGCCACCCACGGCGAGACTTCACAGCGGAATTGTTCCGCATCCATATTCCATAGCGGGTATTTTTAAAGCGAATTTATTCCCTAGAAAGAGAGAGAGAACCGGAGAGATGTTCGCATCTCATTCACCGTAATGTCCGGCATCGGCAGGGGAAGTTTGATTTGTGAGACTCGTGCAGTTAACTTCACAGGGTCAGATCAATAGCTGGACTGTCTCAAGACCGTATCAGCACCTGACCGCATTCAACAAAAATAACATCCACCCCTGGCATTAAAAACCACGATACGTCGTGCGCTACTAATATGTCTGCTTTATTGAATTTGAGAATTTGAGCCCTTTGCCCTGACAGACACGGGTCTGCTCTTGTGAACCCTATCACCGGATCTCTTGAGATTGCTTTGTTGGTTCTTTTTGGTTTTGTTCACCACAGGGGCTCTTCATCTTCCTCATTTACGGAGTGTACAACACAGAGGTGAGTGTGCGAGGAGTCTGGGACTCGCCGCGTGTTTAGTAACGAGGCTCCGGGCCTCACATGACAATCGACTGCCAGACGCCCACCTGCCCAGGTCTGCTTTACGATTATCAGAAGACTTACTGCCTTGAAAGCGAAAAAATATATGTAAGGGATGATGGTTTTGGGGAATGGCTCTTCATATCAGAGAGACTCGAGGAAAACAGGCCATTGATCGATGCCATGAACAATGACAATTGCCTGAAACATCGCTTGTTTTATATATGTTTCCCTTTTTGTGAAGTCTTATTGACAAATGTGTTGATTTGTTGTCATTTGTGTTTGTACACCACTGCCAATGCAGTATCACTCTTACACTATAACTTAATTTGCCCACCGGTGAGTCAGTCACACTCTCGCTTTGCTCATTTCCATCAAGGAGAGGAGAATGAGGGTCCCCTTCTAACCGGAAGGAATCAGGAACCCATGGTATTCATAATGAGTGGTTATGCAACCTATGTCCTTGAACCTAGGTTTCATGGTTTAAGAAAAAACAACCATCCAAATGCTATATCCTATTGAATTATTCGATGTAATGTATATACTTTCTCAACCCCATCCCTGGAATTCAAACTCAGCTTGCTGGATCCATGTGGCAGTGTGCTAACCACTGCGTCACCACTCCACCCTAGTCTTTATACAGAGAGGGTAATATTGACCAACTCCATAAAAAATACGGCAATTTTTTTATGAATCCACATTCTTACTAGGAACAATAAAGTTCGTTAATTGTCTAAACATGTTGAAGATGGACCTGTAAATCATAATGAATATAATATCTCAACTTGGGAGTAATGTTAAGTTATTTTTTTAAAGGGCCATACAAAGTTGTTAAAATAGTTTAAATTACGTGGAGAGGTGGGGGGGGGGGGGTTTACGTGCCTTCATGTTTGTGACTTTACTGATACAGGTACGGAACACGATCAAGAGAATGAAGGAAAGACGCAAAGCTCTCTCCTTCTCGGTGAGTAAGACGCCGGTTAACTTCTTTCTAAAAAACTAAATCACCATCAATCAATCATCATCACCATCATCCATTATCAATCCACGAACTGGATGAAGGCCTAAGTCGTCAACCATCCCTCACAATTATTGGTTCTTTCGGTAAAGTCACGTAGAAGGGAAACAATAAAATGATAAAAATATAAAACAATAAAATTCTCACGACGTTTCGACTGCAACACAAGCAATCATCATCAGGTGTTGCAGTCGAAACGTCGTGAGAATTTTATTGTTTTATATTTTTATTATTTTATTGTTTCCCTTCTACGTGACTTTACCGAAAGAACCAAGAATATGAATCCCTGCAGTCACGAAAGCTTTAAATCAAAATTCATCCCTCACAAGTCGTGCGATGCTACAATCTCACCGGCCAGGCGCGTTCCCCGTTCTGCTGCCCGGCACGATTCCAAGCTGTGCACCCCCCTCTCTCTCTGTCACCCACTCGCTTCTTTGCGCGCTCCTCGAACCTTCGCGTTCTATTTTCGCGAAAAGAGAAAGACGCGGATGGGAGAAGGCGTCCGAAGCAGGAGACGTCGTGCGGTGAGCGAAATGAAGTGTTGGGTAGAGGGGGGGGCAGGACACGTCGCTCGCTGCGAGAGTTGAGGCCGCTCAAACGAGCCTGCCGATGGAATGGGGGCAGCCAACAGGGAGAGAGAGAGTTGTGTGCACCGGAGAGGAAGGTCGGTGTGAAGAGATGGAGCGACGAAATCAGTTCACGTGCAGGAGTGAGATGGACCGCGATGTTGCCGGGTCAATGGGGTGGGGGGGGGGGAGTGGTGATTTACTTGGGGGGGGGCCTTCATCCAGCAGGAGACAGCATGGACAGAATCCGTCACGTGGATTATTTAAAATTAAAATCTATTCGCCACAATCTAATCAATTTATTCTGCTGAACCGTTAAGGATGTACCGATATTCATTCTGCTCGCAAGTAGAATATGTCTTTAGGCAGGATGTTTACAGTCCATCCTATCAATTTCAAATTTAAACTTCGATTGGAATGCATTACTGAGTGACTTACTTCCAATAAAATTATTAATTTTCAACGAAAGAGTTCATTACAGACGCCACTTTGTTATACCGGCACCTCCGTCTGCAAGACATCGTTCCTCTCCTCCACCCCCCACCGCCACCGTCACCAAACTCCGACGAGCGCTGTGGCCTCCGGTGGCCGCCCACGGCCTTCCTGGGCCACCGTTCATCCTCCAGGCCACCGGTCCTCTCCACCGCTGCGGCTCCCCCCCCCCCCCCCCCCGGTCCCTCTCGTCGTCATCATCGTCGACAGGCTAAATACCCCAGAGGGCACCGACGGGAGCGCGCGCCCTTTTCATCGCACGAATAGAGTTCCGCCACCTGTCGCCGCCGCTAATTTCACTCGGAAGCGAAAGTTTATACATCGCGGCCTGCGCGGCACCCCAGGGAGGGTGCATGTGGTGGGCTGTGCTCGGGGGGGGGGGGGGGGGGGGGTCGTGGTGGGGGGTTGGCAGGGATGAGGAGGCGATGTGGAGGTCTGGGTTGGAGTCGTGGGGGTGCGGGTGTTTGTGGCAAGCGCTGGGTGGCGGCCGAGCAGTAGCCCATGAAACGGGGGCAGAGTAGGGGGGGGGGGTTGGTCGGAACCACCTGGAGTGGCAAATGCGAGCAGTGTTCACCATGGGAAGTGTTCACACTTCCATAATTATTAGGGTTTTTTTGTTGTATTTTATTTATGATTTTCTCAATCGAACAAACTGTGTTACCCTTGGGGTGTCCTTGCTATCATAGACATTTGTGATCTAGAAATGACACGCCTCAAAGAAAATCATGGCAAGTATTTGCCACCCTGGGTGGTACCAATAATCTATTTTCGGTGGCAATGGCTCAAGGACCAAGCAAGGGGTGGCCGGGAGGGAAGAAAGGATCGTCGGATCGGGTTTAGCGAGCGGAGGGTCGTCCGATGCGATCTCCCCCACCCACCAGCCCGAGTGTGGTCTGACTCCCAGATGCTAGTAACTTAACAAACGCAAAGCCTGGCAGCGCACTGTTTATGTTTGGCTATGTGGTGGCTGCTGCTGCTGTAATCCTAATGATGTTAAGATATGCGAAGTGTGTTCGCAAAAAACTACTGACATTGACACCGCTTCCTTCTCCCCCCTCCCCTCTTACTCCGTCTCTCTCTCTCTCGCACTCTGTGGCTGTTGGTGCTTTTTTTTTGTTTGGGGAAAACATGTGACAGCATTGCAAATGCTGTCTCGCGCTGAGACAAATCAAATTCCCGACAGGCTGATTAAAGGTCTGTTTGCTTAAATGTTGACTGTAATGTAGTCGCAGTGTCATTTTGGTTTGTGTGCATTTAATTTGAGAGAGAAAAAAAAATAATGATGTGAGAAATATTTTAATTGATAGTAATAAATGATGACATGAATGAGGCATGTGACACAACCATTGGTAATGTATATGAGAATTTAATTTGATGTAGCGTCTTAATACTGGGAGCATCTCTAGACTCTCTAGAGGAACAACTATTTACATCATATAACGCGAATACAAATTTGAATAATGTAGAGTTTAACCGCAGCGAGTGAGCAAATTCAACCGTAAGACGTAACATGAAAATATGGTTAAAAGTGGATAAAACATTTAAACCAAAATGCACCGGCACAGAACAATCCCAGCCTGGGCAAGCCGCGTGTCCGGCCCGAGTTCACGGGTCAGAGGTCAAAGGTGGCACAAAAAACAAGGTGTTCACGTTTAAGTGGCTCCCACGGCCGGCCGGCGTGCGGGTGACCAGAGCGGCGGAAATACAAATACCAAAAAAAAACCAACGTGTTGTTTGGTCTACGGACGCACGCGCGTGTGTGCGCGCGTTTGTGTGTGCGCGCGTTTGTGCGTGTGTGTGCGTGTGTGCGCGCGTGTGTGTGCGCGCGTGTGTGTGTGTGAGCAGCGATGGAACAAACAGGCGGCATTGTCTCGCGTTAGGGAGAGAGAGAGACGCACCTCAGATAAAAAATAATAATTAGCCGATGAAAAGAAGGCGATTCACAGCTGCAGCAACTCTTTGCAGATCTACCCCGTGGTCTTTTTTGTATTTCCCTTCAGATTTTATTGCAGGGAAATGTTTTATAAACAGTTCGGGCCGCGAAAGGCTCCCGTTTAAAGTGATGGCTAAATTTTTGTTTTAATTGAAGCTGATACCAGCGGTCGGTTTCCGTGACTCACCAAACTGCAGGAAAGAACAGTATTTGCATGCGGGCTCCGGGTTCAGAGGATTTTTTGCAGTTTCCACGAAATATTGGGATTATCTTTACGCGGCAAAAAATATATATTTACGAGCGCTGCATCTGCATAATTCATTTTGTTTCCCGCTTCAAAATACGTTTAGATGTATTATTCTAGATTTGAAGTTTTCGTGAATGCAAGGATCCATACTTTTTAGTTATTTCGGTAAAGTCACGTAGATGAAAAATAAAGAAGATTAATAATGAAAATAATAAAATGAAAATAGCTAAATTATTATTTTCATTATTAATATTTTTTTTATTTTTCATCTACGTGACTTTACCGAAAGATCCAAAGAGTTTAGATGTATTATGTCCGGCACGTGTTGATTTGTCGACGGTGCACACACGTTACACACAGTAAGATAAGACATTTAAGGCGATATGCATCTGTGGAAATGATGCGTCAACAATTTTCACTTGACGCGTCTGCCAACATGCATTTGTAGAGCAGTTAAAAAAGACACTTTGGACAACACGGGTACGTGACATATTCTGATGCACGTGTTACACTTTACAGTTCTGCATTCTCATCGCTGACATTAACTTGCACATTAAATTTAGCCGAATGCTTTCTACATAATAATGATAGTGAAAACAATTTACATTCCTTCTTCAATCCACTCCTGGATGACTTTTCTCATTTGCTGAACATGAAACCATTATTGAGTGTGTGTCTGGTACTGATCCATCGGTAATGATCTCAAATACCCCATAGCTCTGGCAGCTCGAGGTGTACTGAATGAGCATCGCTGTGTTTCACCATACTTCACCACGCTGGTCAGTGCAGGTTGGTAAAAGGTGGGCAACCCTAGACTGGTTCAGATACCACTCACTGCTGATGTTAGCCACGGCTGGAAATCAAACTCGGGACCGCCTGGGTTCATAGCGCAGCAAGCTAACCACAGCTCCAGCTTCTATGTACAGTATATCTATGAGTCTCTATGTTAATCTCTGGGTCTAAATGTATCTCCTTGTGTCTCTGTAGGTCTCTATGTGTCTCTGTGTATCTCTATTTGTCTCTCTTTATTTCTACGGGTCTCGATGTATCTCAATGAGTCTCTGTACCTCTATGGGTTTCCGATATGGTCCATATCGTTTGGGGTTTGCAGCCGCAAGAAAAGTATAAACCAACATAAATTGTAGGGTTTTTTTGTTCTCAAAACCTAACAATAATGTTCAAACATCATCCATAACGTTTTGCTACATTGCTATAAACAGTCATTACACTGCGTGTTATATGCACGCACGTAACTAACTAAAGACCGCTACTTTATTTTTTCTACCCAAAAATCCTTTCAAAATAAAAAGCCACAGTGATGTTTATCGGCACCGCGTGCGTTTCAGAAGAAAACAAAAAATAAATTGTGCAGGAATTAAAAGAAAAAGACAGATGTGTGGTGGGAACCCAAAACTAAAAAGAACTCAAGCGGTGGCCATCGTAGAATCGTTTACATTTTTCTTGTCCTCTCCCAGTGAGTCATCTCTGAAAGACGTTGCGAAAATCGTCGACTTTGAAAAGCCGCAGTTTAAGAGTTAATTAACGTATCATAGCCGAAACATGGGGCCTGTAAACGCTAGGCTTTTATCATCATCATCTGCTGCTGCAGCTACTGATGAGGGTCTTTTAAGTCACGACAAACACGTGCTATATAAATTTTGATGTAAAGCTTTCGTGACTGCAGGGATTCATATTCTTGGTTCTTGCGGTAAAGTCACGTAGAAGGGAAACACATTAATTTAATAAAAATATAAAACAATAAAATTATCACGACGTTTCGACTGCAACACAAGCAATCATCGTCAGGTGTGAAAACCACAGCAAGAAAACCTTGTGTTGCAGTCGAAACGTCGTGAGAATTTTATTGTTTTATATTTTTATTATTTTAGTGTTTCCCTTCTACGTGACTTTACCGAAAGAACCAAGAATACGTGCTATATAGTGGCAGAAATCAATCGTATTTTGTTGCGAAACATAATACACAAGCACACCTCACTTAGCGCTCAAGATGCATTCCTGGAGAAGTGAGCGCTAATCGAATCAGCGGTAAAAGGGGTCGTTATATCATTGCTTATATGGGGTTGTGTTCCCGACAGCGTTATTTATTTCGTATGAGCAATATACTCGGGTTTCATTGGGGTATCTGTAATAGTGCTAATAATACAGATGGTAAACACTTTTGTAAATTAAACTATTGTCTTATAAAAACGGTAAGTATCTACTGTCCTAACGAAGACATTCTACTGTATTTTTCCTACAAGGCGGTGGTGGGAGACGAGGTTGTAGGAGCTGCTGCACTTCAAATACGGGGTCACGTGACGTTCTTACTCCGTTGCCCCTACTGGACATATGTGAAAAAAAGCTGCATAGCTCAACGGATTCCTCCAGTATAAATAATGATTCTAATCTGATTCTCAGAGCAAAGCTCCAGGGCCTCCGTGACCTTAGCGATGCCCTCAGTCTAAATTTCAAGATGCAAGGTCTTTTAACATGGGGGTGCGAGACCTGGCCAGGTTGTTTTCGAAGGAAAATCATCAAAACACAATTTAAGCACGGCCACGTAAGTTCAACTGCTTTGTTTCATCAAACCCCTATGTGTTTATTAACATGAAAACAATTACTATTGAGAACCGAAGGGGTGCAAGTCTGCAGTGAAGGTTAAGAACCACTGCTCGAGAGCGTGCAGCCTCCTGGCACCCATAACTTGCCACGGCCGGTGAACGCCATCGAAACCAAAATTCTAATCGACAAACCGAATCGCTTTCCAGAACTGCGCGGCCAGCTCGCGTCCCTCCAGCTCGCTCACGAGCTCGCGCCCCACCACGGCGACCGGCCCGGACGGCGACGGCGCCGCGAGGCTCACGGCCCACAGCCCCGAGCTGCCCCCCACTGCGGGTTCGGCACGGCCGCCCGCGGCTCCTCTCCCCCCCGCCGCCTCCCCGCGACCGCCGCCGCCGCCGCCGGCGCAGCAGCGGCAGCGGCAGCAGGAGCAGCGGCGCCGGCGGCCGACGCCGCCGCCGCCGGCGCCACCGCCGCCGTCGGCGATCCGGCGGCCGTCGGAGCACGTGGCCCTGGACCCACGCGGGGGCTTCGCGTGCGAGGACAGCCCCCGACGCCGCCACCACTACGAGAACCCCGTCATGGAGCGTGAGTGGCGCGACCGCGTGGGTAACGGTGACCGCTCCCCTCCTCGCCCACCGCCATGCCCTCCCCCCCCCCCCAATGAACGTTTCGCAAGCCGGTGCCGCGGCGTAATGCCTCGTGCCGCGCAGAGGCAGCTGCCGCTTGGGGGGCCCCCTTGGCTAGACTGCGGCGGGGTTGATTCGATGCGAGTTGCCGTGGCTTGCCGAGGCATTCGAGTAAGCGCCGTGCGCGTGCTCATTCTTAAATCCTTATCTGTGGGTGTCTGTGTGAACCAATTGTTATTTCAGGAGAGTCTACACGAGTGCGGAGTTCGTTTCCGTCATGTGCTCAGCGCACATCTGAGAAGGGGCAGACATTCTGCTTTTACGCACTCGGAAGCTTTCGAAGATGAGAAGGGAACGCGGAAGAGGCGTGCTCCCGCGCAACTTGTCTCTCTGTTGTTGGTCCGTTCAGTGACCGGTGCTTATGCAGCGAAGATTAAATTGCGTGAAATAATCCGGCTGCTGACAGCTCACCAGCTCCAGCTGACTGTGAAAGACTCTGTAGAAATGAAATGGGCAGTCCCGATCGATCATGAATTCGATGTTAATCCGCTAGGAGATTCAATTCTGTCCTATATCACACACAGTTCTGAAGGCAGCTCAAGGGCAGAGCGAGCGGCTCGCAATCGCAAGGTTGCGAGTTCAAATCCTGGTGACGGGTTGACTCAGCCCATCATTCCGCTGGATTCAATAAAATAAGTACCAGTTTTTGGCTGAAGTGGCCAGCGGTTGTTCCATGGATATCCTCGACCCCACCATAGAAAATGTGAAACTTCCACCACTCGTCTCAGGGCTATGAGCTGGAGATGATCTTTGCCTCAATAGTAATTCGAGCAGGAAATCACTCTTGACTGTGTACGATTACCCACATTCTTAAAGCGTCCGCAAAAGCAGTGTCCGAAGTGTGGCGGAACTGCCCGTGTGTCTCCCCTCTCTCTCTCTGTCTCTCCTCTGTCTCTCCTCTGTCATCTGTGTCTCTCTTTCTCTCTGTCTCTCCTCTCTCTTTCTGTCTCTCCCATGTATCTCTGTCTCTCCTGTCTCGCTCTGTCAACTGTCACTCCTCTCTCTGTGTGTCTCTCTCTGTCTCTCCTCTCTCTCTCTCTGTGTTTCTCTCTCTCTGTGTCTTTCCTCTTTCTATCTCTTGTTCTGTCTCTCCTCTGTCTCTCCTCTCTCTGTGTGTCTCTCTCTGTCTCTCCTCTGTCTCTCTCTCTGTGTCTCTCCTCTGTCTATCCCATGTCTCTCTGTCTCTCCTCTGTCTCGCTCTGTCATCTGTCACTCCTCTCTCTGTGTGTCTCTCTCTGTCTCTTCTCTCTCTCTGTGTTTCTCTCTATGTCTTTCCTCTTTCTACCTCTTGTTCTGTCTCTCCTCTGTCTCTCCTCTCTCTCTGTGTCTCTCCTCTGTCTCTCCCATGTCTCTCCGCTAAGACTGAAAACGCCAATGCGTGTTTCATTTTCAGGGCAGGTGTCAACGCTCAGCCTGGGGCCCACGGGGACCGGCGGAGCCTCCGCCTACAGCCCCCCCAGCCACGACACTTCACAACAGGTGCGTGGCACCACACACACATAGAGCCCAAAACACTATTACAACTCGATTTGTAAGGGCTGTTTTTTTTTTAAACAATGAAATCATTAACACGATTCGTAATAACGATAGCTCATCACCACTGATAACTCGTACCCGTGCTGTGGAGAGCAGAGAGAGCTCCCTGCTGGCCACAGCGTAGGTATTGTACTGCGCATCTATGCTCCCACATCTGTTCTATCCACCTCCATCAACCCCCAATGACAAGAGTGGTGAAGTATGGTAAAATAACCCCCACGCAATATATCTCTATACGTGTCATTACGTGCCTGCTATGTGTGCGTCAATTGACACCTTGGACATTGTTGCAAATGAGATTTTTCATCTCAAGGGATTTTCCAGGTGAAAATTATACCGCGTGGGTGGAGGGCACTCATCCAGCAGTGGATATAAAAAATCCACTACGCAAATAACAATAATACACGGTCTCCATGAGCCACGTGACCCGAGTCTGAGCTTAAGCTGCCGTCACAGTGGCACATTTACGTATTATTATTATTTTCATGTGTTGATATTTTGTCAACAAGAGTCGGCCGTGAATTCTGACCCCAGCTCAAATTTCCCATGGGGCGGTGTCGTTTCAGGGGCTGGCCTAACAATTTACATCACCAGATCTACATATGCATGTGAGCTGAACTTCTTTCGCGCCGTACGTAGCCAACCATGCCTCAATCGGCGGTGGCGTGAAGATTGAACTTTCATTTCACACTTACCATTTTGTTAAAAATGGCAGAAAACCCGGTCGTGGCTTTAAACTCGCGAGAATTTCCAGACAAGTCTTAACTCAGAAGTGTTTCTGGGAAAGCCGTGCCCATCTCACATGACCACGCGAAGAACGAGAAATATTATATAATGGTCGCTTTTTTTTTACCCACCCCAATTTGCCCTTCAACTCGCTTTTTGGGGGAAATCAGGTCAACAACCCTTGTCAACTGGAGTTGGTGTTTAATGACTACGAACATGCAATGCACGTCAGTGGATTGATACTCAAGATCCACGCTAGGCATGAATCAGATCACCCTGCTCCCTACAGTTAGACTTTAAGATTTTTTTTTAAATCCATTACTTTCATTTATTTTTTTCTACCATCTCGTTTGTAGTCTTTTTCATTCTTTCTATCTCGTCTTCAAAGTTGTGTGCTCGCTCCATTAGCCTCAACGCAACCTTAGCAATACGCACCTTAGTCGTCTGCCTTATTTTGCATAGCTCATAAATAATATTAACATGCACACTCCACACTGTATGCACGTATCGTGAGCATAAGAAGTTACTTTAAGCAATCAACCAGTGTGTGATTACATGCGAAATGCACATATGTTACTCTGTTACTATGAAACCCATGCTATGCATTTGTATTCATTTACCAAACTGCTAGGTTGACCCAATACAATTATAATTTTGGTTTATATCTCCCCACTTCTTTCGCCAAGAAAGCCTTATTGAGTCTCAAGTCTCTTTGCTGGGGGGGGGGGGGGGGGGGGGGGGGGTCCTGTGAGGTTTTTGCAGTAGAGGGGGCGATGTCGCTGCTGTGTAATTGAGTGTAGGTCATATTTGCAGGTAACATTTCAACATTGGGATGTGTGGCCAATGCCAGTTCTATTGTACGGCTTTTTTACTTAGCTATGGGAGAAAACTAAAGAACACAATACAACTTCTTTGGTTCTTTCGGTAAAGTCACGTAGAATGAGAATAAAATAATAAATTGATAAAATAAAATAACACAATAATATTCTCACGACGTTTCGGCCACAACACAAGCGGCCTTCATCAGGTGAAGGGACGAGACTGTCTTGTAGGACAGCGCTGGAGTGAAAAAGCCACGCTCAGATCACGACCTTTAAGCTGTGTGAGAAGAAACAAAGCGCCTTGACAAAGGAATTAGTATATAATTTTAGCATTGAAATGGCTGAGTGATTAGCTTGTGACTGGTCACAGAAATGACTATGTTAAAGTTAAAGCATACACATCAAGGGGTGCCTCTGCGGTTGTGTATGCTTTAACATAGCCATTTCTGTGACCAGTCACAAGCTAATCAATCAGCCATTTCAATGCTAAATTATATGGTAATTCCTTTGTCAAGGCGCTTTGTTTCTTCTCACACAGCTTAAAGGTCGTGATCTGAACGTGGCTTTTTCACTCCAGCGCTGTCCTACCAGACAGTCTCGTCCCTTCACCTGATGAACGCCGCTTGTGTTGTGGCCGAAACGTCGTGAGAATATTATTGTGTTATTTTATTTTATCAATTTATTATTTTATTCTCATTCTACGTGACTTTACCGAAAGAACCAAAGAAGATGAATCCTTGCAGTCACGAAAGCTTTAAATCGAAACACAATACAAACCCATGCAGAAAGGGGGGAGAACATCTAACCCAGGTTCTTCTTATTTTGAGGAACAAGCATTAGCACGGCACCACCCTGCGACCCTTTCATTTAATAAGAGTGATAATAATTATAATGCGCCACTAATTTACCCAAGAAAATATTTCTGAGTGTCAAGCCTCTTTATTAGGAGGCTTTCGACTCTTGACTTGTGGTGAACTCCGTGAATGAGAATTTGGCGTTCATGTGGGAGGAGACCGGAGAACCCGGAGAGAACCCACCAGGTGCACGAGGGGGCATCGCTCACGCACACCATCTCCTGGCCGCACCTCACAACCCCACGCCTACAACACCTCGCAAAGCCCGGGGCAAGCCCTGGCCACCCATCCAAGGACTGATCCGACTCAACCCTGCTTAGCTTCCATTTGGCGTGACTTGCTTGGAGTTCTGATGAGATTGTAGGCGCGTTGGTTTTGATCTCTAACCCCGGTTGCTGAGCACAGGGCCCAAAGGCCCAAAACATTAAGGGGCCTGCGGCAAACAGCACCATCAAGGACGTAGTAGATTAGAGTGAACCCGTTTCCTGAATTTTGCGATGTTGTGAAGTCGAGAAAAGAGACAACGATGATCGGAGGGAATTCCAAAGGGCAGCAGTGCGAGGGAAGGAACAGAAGGAGAAGCGTTGTGGCCTGCAACAGTGTGGATAAGATGGGTGGAGGAATGAGTGAGTGAAGTCCCAGTAACCATGGTAGCGGCGATAGTATGAGTGACGAGGAGGGGACTGACCGCTGGCGAGCGAGCGACAGGAGTGCATTAGCGGGTGCTGGATCATCGATCAACCTGGCTTCATGACGTTTGGTTAATCCCGATGCTGTTTACCAAGACTAAACTGAACTTTTTTTCATTCTACCATGTGTAAGGCCCACTCAGCTATATAGCTCTTTTTCAGACGCGACCTGGCTATCACAAATGATAGCTCAACGAAGAGACTGGATGCAGGGTCAGCTTTCTAATCACTCAGCACTGTCTTTCACATGCGGTCAGTTGAGGTCTTTGGGCTATTTCAGAATTCGCGTATTCTCTCTCGCTTCGATATTTAACCTTCATTCGTTTTTCGAATAATTACGTGAACAGCTTTCAAAGGGAAATTGTCGGTCAATTCTTTTTTTTTCTTAGCAATTTATAGGCCATGAATTGCAGTTTTTGAAATTTTGTGGTTGCACATTGCTGGTTCATAAAATAATTTGCATCAGCCAAGGCTAACCTATTTCTCTTCCACCGCAACACACATTGCTGCATAAAAGCTTGGGACATAAAAACAAGCGCGGAATAATGCGTTATCGTTTGCAGCCCATGAACCTTGTAGATAAATGTATCGCCTATGAGCCTGACCTTAAATGAAATTGACCGCTTGTGACTTAGGTAAAGTGTTTTAGCTTATTTCACAAAATGTATGGATAACAAAATTCCTCACAACATTTTCGGGCCTCATATACTTCCACGAAAAAGCAGAATCTGTAAGCATAAATGTACGGGTGACAAATTTAAGAACATTTTCAAGCGACGGGGCTGTCGTTCACGCACCGTGACTACTGGGCATCTGTCAAAAAGAGCTTATTAGCTCATCGAATTTCTCCAGGATGAATACAAATTCTGATCCTGAAAGGTTCTGATCCCGGCGGCCCGAGTCCTATTCCCGGCCACGGATAAATCAGTGGCGAGTAATATCGGAACAATTCCTGGGCCCCCTCCAATTATCACCAACCCTTGCTGACCTCCATGGTGACATGTGTTTAAACAAACAGCTGACGACCGACACAGCACACAAGTATAGGTTCAAGAATGGAGAAATGTAAGTTGTATACACAAAAGAGTAACGTTTTCAGTCTGCACTTTGGCAGTCTGAAGGTTCTTGAATAGAAACATCCAGGCGTGGATTGACAAAGCGCTGTATCTAAATAATAATCATCATCGCCTATGGTTAATTCACTGCTGGATGAAGCCCTCCCCAGGCCACCACCACCACCACCTCTCACGATTTCTTTGATGCAACAATCCGCCCAGCGCCTGCACACGAACTTAATTCATCGCTCCATCTCTTCAATAGACTTCCTCTTGGATGCTTCCCACTGCTCGACCGCCACTCCGTTATTATTCTTGACCATCGTCTGTCATCCCTTCTAGCGGCCTGTGCCTGCTCACTCGTCTGATGTCATTGATGGATACATCTACCCATGGTTCTGCAGGGAGCACAAATGGTGGGCACGAGCGTCTGAGCGAAGCAGCCCCTGCAGCAACGTTTAACTCGGGAGCAAACATCCTTGACATGGATTCTGAGTCAACCCTGCATCAGACGGCCCTAATAAACTCGGCCCACAATAATGTAAAATGGATTTATTATGGCATCAGCTGGCTCTGAGCCTTTAATGGCTTGCTTGTCTGTCTGTGGTTAACGAGTCTCGATCTCTGTTTGCCGTTCAATCTTTCACGGGTTTCACCCAAGCCCAAACAAAACTCAAGAAATCGAGATAACGCAGTGCTTGTGCACACCACGTGTCCTGCCAACAGGGCCAGTGGGAGCTCTGCTAAAACAGCGACAATGAGCTGGTGTTCATATTCTTGGTTCTTTCGGTAAAGTCACGTAGAAGGGAAACAATAAACTGATAAAAATATGAAACAATAAAATTCTCAACGACGTTTCAATTCCCGAGTCCAAAAATGGGCTGGTGGTTATTGTTTACAGGTGAGTAGAGGGCGGCCATTTTTGTTTCAGCACGTGGCGGTTTTTTGTTTTGCTGCCTTCCGTTTTACGAAGGCTCATTAAAATATTGAAAGGCGGAAGTTTTGCTGTTTTGTTTTACTTTTCTTCGGAATGGTAATCAACAATATCTTTATTGGGCCGTTGAGCAGCATTGAGAGACAGTAGAGAGACAGCAAAGTCTCTCTGCTGTTTCTCATTCCAGTTAAAATCAACTAGGAAGCACCACCTGACCAAGGTCACTAAGTATTGGCCACTCAGCAATGGCCGATTTTTCCATCACTTTTACAATAGCCATTGTTATTAGGGGCCGTCCATAAATGACGTCACGCGATTTTTGGCTATTTTTGACCCCCCCCCCCCCATCGTCACACGGCGTCACAAAAAGTTAGACCCCCCCCCCCTCAAATATGACGTCACAAAGCTCTGCCCCCCCCCCCCCCCCCCGAAAATATAAAACATGCTTCAAATCGCTTTAAACTATTGTCATTGTAGTGAGTATTTAATGTGCCGCTGCACTCTGATGTAGGAGAAAACATGTATTACAAAGTCTATTTAATTAAGTAGAACGTGTTGTCTATATTTATTTAAAGTTGCGCATTTTTACGTGACGTCACATTTCTGACCCCCCCCCCTCCTCCTCGTCACACATCGTCACAAATGTCTGACCCCCCCCCCCCCAGGTGCGTGACGTAATTTATGGACGGCCCCTTATGGTTATGTAAAAGTTAAAGGTGCAGTTCTGCAACTGCTTGCTTACTGCGACTGCTGGCAGAAGGGCCACCACTGGAGGGAGTTCTAGAGAGCGCCTCTATAATGTATTGTGCTTAGACGGGTGACCGCCATGCATTAAACAGGTTGTCACAGGCTATGGAGGCTACCTTGTGGCCAGCAGAGGACAGTGCGGCTTCATGCCTTAACCAACCCTTGCTGAGCAGCGTGGTTGCGTACGGCCAAACAACCCCCAAGAGGAGCCGCCAGGTGTGAGGACGACCTCGTCGAGTCCGTTGATTGACAAAAGGGATCGTTTCAGCCACTAGAGGCCGCTATCATTCACCGCAGTGTTGAAAAGGAAATCGACTGTGAAACCGGACCACGTGGTGCGGGAAGGAGCCCTTCCATCCAAGCAGTGGATTGACAAAACGAGGCTGTGCACGTACGCACACGCGCCACAACACTTGTAGGGGGGTGGGGGGGGGGGTAAAGCGTGGCACGCGTTTCTAAACCCGCGCAAGATTTCCATCGTCCCGTTGACTCTCGCTCGACATCCATTGAGATTTGCGCAAGGGGTACAGCTCCTTCATGGCCTCTTTCTTTTCTTTTTGCTTGCGTGGGACAGAAATACTTAGACGCACGCCTGCCGGCCGTCCGTCATCAGCCAACTCCAGTTCGTCCGTGTGCTGCTTCTGGTTAGCGTCGCGAGCTTCTGTATTCTTAACAATGTTAGTAAACTTGGAGGCAGCCACGCAGGGCAGGGGGTGGCGGCGGGGGTGGTGGTGGGGGGTGCATGTCCCGCGTAGTGCCAGGGGAGAAGGTGAGACAGCTGCCCTCCTCAACCCCCAAGGGAAATCTACCCCCGCCACTGCCCCTCACCCTAATGCCCCCCACCCCCAGTTGCCCTGTTGCTTCCCTCGACTGCCGCCAAACCCATCGCGAGAGACGTAAGAATTGCGTTTGCAGAAGCCAACGGCTAGGATAAAACAAAAAAGGACATTTGGTTTATGTGCCCTTCTCCTAGCTCGAGGCTGTCACGGCTATCGAGTTCATTTGTTGAACCAGAGGTGGCAGCTCGAGACGCCGTCTTGCACAGACGATTGTAGTCTGCTAGCAGGGGGGGTGCGTTGTTGCTGTGTGATTTTTGCCCAATTAAGTAATTTGTGAGTACGCAAAATCTTCAAACGTGCAACATTTGGAGCGGGATCTGTGGCATCCTTTTTTAAATTACATCGCCGGGATGTTTGCAACGTTCGCCCCGACAGCGTGGTTAACACACCCACAGTATTAACCAGGGTGTCCGCTGGGTTGGAACCACGAACGTTTGCAAGGCATCCAATGAGTGCATAGTACAGCTTTTTTTTTAGAATGATTCCAAAAAATCCGTAAATTTTGAACCAAGATGGACATTTTTATTTTCACACCTGATGATGACCGTTTGTGTTATGGTCTAAACGTCGTGAGAATTTTTATTGTTTTATATATTTTATTATTTTATTGTTTCCCTTCAACGTGACTTTACCGAAAGAGCTAAGAATATGAATTACTGCAGTCACGAAAGCTTTAAATCAAAATTCAAGATGGACATTTTTGAACGATCCAAAAATTTGCTGTGACATCACTTTTGTGCTTTTCTTGCAGGTTGAAAATAAAACTTCTCACATTTAAAATAATGTCATTGGACGCATAAACAAAGTGGCAAAAAAATTAAGTAAAAAAATGCGAAAATAATCTATGGTAAAAATCTCATCCCGGAGCGCGTAAACCTTTCCTATCACTTGCCCCGTGAGATTTTCATTATACAAATTATTAAGCGAAGTGGCACAAACAAAAACACAAAACCCACCCATTTACCTGCGTGGCATGTACCACGTGACCATTGGCAGTGTGTGCGTGTTGTGTTGTGTGTGTCTGTCGGTCTGTCGTTTGTTTGCTGTGGCCGCGCCACGTTCCTGCACCCATCTCGCGCGTCCGCCATCCACGCACTTTGCACCCCACGGGCGAGCGCTCCGCTCCAGCTGCGCCATTCGCGGTCGTAGCCAGCCGCCGTGTGACCGATCCACCGCTCCACCCCCCCCCACCCCCCCGCGGGGGTAG